CCATTCAAAGTATTAAGTGAGCTGCTTTGCATATTCAGTGAGTAGAGTGAGTTAGGAGAAAATGCAATTAAAAGTAGTTTCCATGTAATTATTTCAAGGTTCCCTCACCAGTGAGCACTAGTACTATTTGAACATTATTTGACCTTGTTAGCCATTTCTGAGCCTTTTTGAATTATGATGTAAATACAGTGGACTTTGGGAAAGGTTTGGTGAATGTGGGAAAAAAGCCTTACGTTATCTGACAGATTTTCCCAGCTCCTGGAGTGAATATATAACGGTATATAACAATATTTCCTATTTTTATACATAACTACCACAAATATGGAGAGTGTATATATATATATATAAATTTTTTTTTTTTTGAACAGAGTCTCGCTTTGTTGCCCAGGCTAGAGTGAGTGCTGTGGCATCAGCCTAGCTCACAGCAACCTCACACTCCTGGGGTCAAGCAATCCTCCTACCTCAGCCTCCCAGGTAGCTGGGACTACAGGCATGCGCCACCATGCCAGGCTGATATTTTCTATATATATTAGTTGGCCAATTAATTTCTTTCTATTTATAATAGAGATGGGGTCTCGCTTTCGCTCAGGCTGGTTTCTAACTCCTGATCTTGAGCAATCCGCCCGCCTCGGCTTTCCAGAATGCTAGGATTACAGGCGTGAGCCACCGCACCCAGCCTGGAGAGTATATTTTTAATGATGAGAAATGATATTAAAGGACAGAATAGCTTTACCGTCCCTCATCTTGGTTGCTGTGGTACATTTGTGCAGTTGGGGATGTAATATTCTGCTGCGCTAAAAGAGATGGAGAGATATTTATCCCTCTGAGTTGCTGGAAAGCTATTTCTGCATGGATGCTCCGAGGATGATTATTTGTCAGAATCCCAGAATTCTTGTTTTTTTTATCTGAAATTAGGAATTCAGAAAGTTAAAATTATGAAACAATAAGAAACACTGAGTAATATAAGAATTAAGTAATAAAGTTTGGTTGTCCTTCAGCAAAATGTCTGCGATATATGTTTCATAACATGAGTTAAAATTTCAAAAAAATATACAGAATTGGAATATATTCCTAGCACTTAATGTGTCTTAAATTTCTGTGAGCTAGTGAATCAATCTGACCCTTTCTAGGTAATTTAAAAATATATAAATATCCAGATTTTCACGCTGTAATAAATATACAGATAAAGTGACCATACTTTTCCAAATAAAAATTAGAGCAGCAGCCAAAAGATAGAAAAAAATTGCAGGACTTTTCAGAAAATCCTAAGAAATAGTTGCATAACATGTCTTGAAAAAAGTTACAGGCATACCTCAGAGATATTGCGAGTTGGGTTCCAGACACTGTAATAAAGTGAATATTGCAATAAAGCAAAGTCACACAAATTTTTTGGTTTCCTAGTGCATATAAAAGTCATGTTTACACTATACTATTGTCTATTAAGTGTGCAATAGTATTATATGTAAATAATGTACATACCTTAATTGAAAATACTTTATTGCTAAAATATGCTAATGATCATCTGAGCCTTCAGCAAATTATCATCTTTTTGCTGGTGGAGGCTCTTGCCCCAGTGTTGATGGCTGCTAACTGATCAGGGTGGTGGTTGCTGAAGGTTTGGGTGGCCATGGCGATTTCTCAAAATGATACAACAATGAATTTTGGTGCCTTGATTCACTCTTCCTTTCATGAAAGATTTTTCTGTAACATGCAATGTTGTTTAATAGCATTTTACCCACAGTAGGACTTCTTTCAAAATTGCAATCAGTCCTCTCAAACTCTGCTGCTGCCTTATCAACTAAGTTTATGTAATGTTCTAAATCCTTTGTTGTCATTTCAACAACATCCATAGTATCCTCACCAGGAGTAAATTCCATATCTTTGCTCATCTGTAAGGAGCAACTCCTCATCTGTTCAAGTTTGATCATGAGATTGCATCAGTTTGGTCACATCTTTAGACTGTACTTCTAATTCTAGTTCTCTTGCTTTTTCTACCACATCTGCAGTTACTTTCTATGCTGAAGTCTTGAACCTCTCAAAGTCATCCATGAGGATTGGAATCACCTCTTTCAAACTCCTGTTAATGTTGATATTTTGACATCTTCTCTGAATCATGAATGTTCTTAATGGCATCTAGAATGGTGACTCCTTTCCAGAAGGTTTTCAATTTAATTTGCCCAGATCCATCAGAGAAATCACTTTCCATGGCAGCTATAAGCTTATGAAATATATTTCTTAAATCATAAGACTTGAAAGTTGAAATTACTCCTTGATCCATGTGCTGTAGGAGAGTTATGTTTGCAGGCATGAAAACAACATTAATCTCCTTGTATACTTCCATAAAAGCTCTTGGGTGATTAGGTACTTTGTCAATGAGCAGCAATCTTTTGAAAGGAATTTTTTTCTCAGCAGTAGGTCTTAATAGTGGGCTTAAAATATTCAGTAAACCATGTTGTAAACAGATGTGCTGCCATGCAGGCTTTATAGTTCTATTTATACAGCACAGGGAGAGTAGATTTAGCAAAATTCTTAAGTGCCCTAGGATTTTCAGAACAGTCAATGAACACTGGCTTCAGCTTAAAGTCACCAGCAGCATTAGCTGCTAATAAGAGAGTCATCCCATCCTTTGAAGCATTGAAGCCAGGCATTGACTTCTCTTCTCTAGCTATGAAAGTCCTGGATGGCTTCTTATTCCAACATAAGGATGTTTTACCAACATTGAAAATCTATTTTTTAGTGTAGTCACCTTCAATAATTATCTTAGCTAGATCTTCTGGATAAATTGCTGCATCTTTTACATTGGCACTTGCTGCTTCACCTTGAACTTTTATTTTATGGAGATAGCTTCTTTCCTTAAATTTCATGAATGAAGCTCTACTAGCTTCAGACTTTCTTCTGCAGCTTCCTTACCTCTCTTAGCCTTCGTAGAATTGAAGAGAGTTAGGATTAGGCTTTGGCTTAAGGGATTGTTGTAGCTGGTTTGATCTTTTATTCAGACCACTTTCTCTATATCAGCAATAAAATTTCACTTTATCATTCATGTTTTCATTGGAATAGCATTTTTAATTTCCTTTAAGAGCTTTTCCTTTTCATTCACAAGTTGGCTAAATATTTGGTACAAGAGGTCTAGCTTTTCTTCTTGTCTAGGCTTTCAACATGCCTTCCTGACTAAGGTTAATCATTTCTAGCTTTTGATTTAAAGTGAGAGATGTGTGACTCCTCTTTCCACTTGAACACATAGAGGCCATTGTAGGGTAATTAACTGGCCTAATTTCAATGTTGTTGTGTCTCAGGGAACATGGAGGCCTGGGGAGAGGAAAAGAGTTTGGGGAACGGCTGGTAGGTGGAGCAATCAGAACACACGCAACATTTATCAATTAAGTGCCATCTTACATGGGTGTAATTGTGGTGCCCCAAGCAGTTACGACAGTAATATGAAAGATCGCTGACCAAAGATCACCATAACAGATAAAATATTAATGAAAAAGTTTGAAATAGTGAGAGACTTAACAAAGTGTAACACAGAAATACGAAGTGAGCACATGCTATTTCAAAAATGGCACTGATAGACTTGCTTGGCGCAGAATTGCCACAAACCTTCAATTTGTAAAAATCACAGTATCTATGAAGTGCAATAAAGTGAAGTGCACTAAAACGAGGCATGTCTGTACCTAGGAAAAAAGTTGTGGAGATGAATCCAGGGTTTAACTAATGTAAAATAAATAAATAAATAAATAAGATATGACATTCCTGAAGCTGACTTTCTTCTGTTAAGCTATTAATAGTAACACCTTGTATGTCCAATTTTGCTGGTAGTTATATTTCCTGGACAAAAGAATAACAATCCTAATTATGATTAAAACCTTTAAGTCATAAAGATGTGGAAGTATGAAAAATAAATTAGACAAAATATAATATCTTAGAGTAAATTATGCTGAGTTTCTTTTAACTGGGTTTCCTTTAAAAACTTTAAGCACATGGAGCAATCTGCTACTCTTTGTAGGCTATTAGATCATTTTATAATTATTGTGATGTCCAGTTTTACTGTCTAACAGTGGTCCGAGGACAAAGTGGGAAGTTAAAAGGAATGGAAGAGGTAAGCCCTGAGAGAAGGAGTAGCTTAGCCCTAATTTTGCCAAAATGATAGCCAGAGAAGATCTGGAATTAGGGAACAGGCTTATTCTAAACCTAAACTAAAATTTATATAATATTTGTATAATAGAATAAGCCACTTGTATGCTTATTTAAATTTTAATAAACTCCCTCCTTTAATATTCTACCTCTTGAAACTCTTCCTTGTTAGCTTCATGAATTCTTTCAAGAGAAAAGTGATCTCTTTGTAAAATATCCTTCATATCTCAAGATTTTATTATTATATTTTTACACTGCTGATTTCTCCTTTCATCAGGATGCACGAATGAAGTGGTTTTAGTAGTTGTTTGTTATGACATGCACAAAATGAAATAAAAGCTTTGGAAAGAAATGAGTTATATGAAATAACTATAGAACTTTAGGAAATGTAAATTAAAAACATAGAATTTTAAGTAATATTAGAAATCAAAGTGAGATTTTTGTTTCAAATGAAGTGTTTGTTTTACATTCTCTCTGAAATTCTTTGTCAAAATACCTTCAACTTCAGGAGTTAAAGAGAAGTCAGGTCCCAAGTAATGGGTAAATCCACCAGGCAGAATTACATTTGTTATCTTTATGGGAGGAGCTTTCCCTTGGCCAAGTGATCCACCATCCACAGGAGAGTTGGTAACAGGAATAAGCTATATAATAAAATAAAATAAAATTAATAGCATCTCATCCCCCAAACTCAGATCAATAGGTTTAGTCTTTATCACAAGCCCCATATGACAATCAACTTAAATTTTTTTTTTTTTAGTCAGGAGTTATATGCTTGCTTAAAATCAGAATTGGTACTAAGTAAAACCTGTAAAATCAATAGAGTCTTTTGAGCAGTTAACCTCCTTCAGAATCTTGTTCTGTTTTTTCAGGCTGCGTTGTACTCATCACTAGAATCTAAGGATTTAGATTCCAAAGGATCTTAACAAGGTAAGTGAAGAATTAAAAAATGAGAATCAAGACTTTTTCTCTTTGTAATTTTTTTTTTAATGAATAGGAATTTCTGGAAGGTAAGAGTCATTTGTCCCACATCTTTGCATTCCTCACATTACCTCATCAAGTGCCTTGCAGTTACCTGTTTTTCAAAATAAGCAAATAAAATGAGGACTAAGAAAAGAAACTTATAATAATTTTAATGAATGTGATAACACTCTTTAAACTATGTTTATATTTCAAACCTGTTGAGGATTAAGAGGCTTTTAAAAGAATTTCAGGAATCAGCAAATGGAGGAGAAAAGCATTTTAGGCAAAGGATTGTTGTTTTCTCTAGAAATTATGCCTGCTCTGCTTGAATTAAGACTGACCTTGTTTATACTTTTAAAATATGAATTCTGAACATATGATGCACTTTATTTAGAGTTATAGGCTTTGCTATTTGTGCAAAATTACCAATTTACCTCATACTTCAGTAAATGTTAGCAAGAACGCAGCTTTGTAAATGAATGTTAAGGTAGCAGTCTTTTTACTCTATTTAGCCAGTCTCAAATCCCCTAATTCCTTTGTGGAAGTTTCTTCCCATCAGTAATCTAGAATGCTGTCAAATTTTCTTCTGAAACCAAACCACCAAAATGTTTTGGTTTAAAAGGCAACTTTGGATTTCATTTATTTTTTCCTTATCTGCTATTAAAGAACAGCAGCTACTAAAGAAAAACATGTTAGACTGATAAACTTGAAAAGTTTTTGTACTGTGTCTCCTGAACAGCTAGTTAAAAGAAATAATGGCTTAATTTTGTTATAGTTATGAAAATAGTAATTAGTGTTGAATCTTTAGATAAAATATATTTCTCTAACATAAAGATTTCAAATACCCTCTCTATTTTACTAATCATATATAGATGAATCCCTAGCTTGTGTGTGTGTGTGTGTGTGTGTGTGTGTGTGTGTGTGTGTGTATGTGTATGCATGGTCTATTCACCAGACCAGGTTGCCTTTGATAGTAATCCCTAAATAGATACTAAGATCATCTACAAAAACATCATAGGTTTAAACATTTAAGTCAAAATGCATGATATAATGTAATGTTCATTTACTAATAATGTATATTTCAAGAAGAAAAGTGTAAGTAATACAGTTATTACCGAGTTTTTCTTTGCTTGTAGTTCAGAGAAGTGAAATTCAGCTTTTGCCCTATCATCTGAATTCACAGGAATTCCATCTAACATCTGTAAGTTAGGCAGTCGAAATATGAGCACATGGCGATGTAGCATTTTTCTACAAATCTGCATAAAGTTAAAAATAATAATTTATTCCTTAAAAACTCCTTTTATTTCAAAGATTAATCTTTATAGAGAAGGGAATTTAACACAGGTAGTAAAGATGACAGATAATAGCTACTTAATAGTAGTAGATGCTACAGTATGAACCCCCTTTTTGAAAGATTGCTCACTTTCCTATCATGCCCAATGAAGAATTTTTTTTTTAACTCAGGCTACCATTTATTGGTTTAGTCTCCTTTTAGAGTAAGAGTAGTATTCATTAACTACAAGCAGTCCCAGCTCATGAATGGGATTATTTTATGCAAGTTCACTTATAAGCAATTAACTTGAAACTTCCATGATATTTTTCTACAGGCACTATCCAATTTAGTTCAGTATACATCTACTGAACTGTATGATCCATCTCTTCATAGTATCAGCCTACTCTAAAAAATTTGCGTATGTACATAAGAAGGTGTGTAGAAAGAGTGAATAAAATAGGCCTGAGGCTGTTAACTTTAGAAGGATCTACTTGCAAGGATGGCTCTTGCTGGTGTTAGATATTTGGTATTTTGTGAGTGTTCCTGCCATTCCTTAACTGATAAGCTACTTCACTATGTCTAGACTATTCATACAAACAATATGATTGATGTTTAACCTATTTCCTTCTGGGAGTCTGCAATTTGGCACATGATAGGGAGAGGGTGTCTATGTGACCAGCCCCCAACAAAATCCTTGAATGCTGAGTTTCTAATGGGCTATCTTGGGTAGAAGCATAACACACAAGTTGCTGCATTTTTGTTGCTGGGTGAAGAGTGTGCTCCGTGTGACCCCTTGTGGGAGAGAAAGAACATAAGGAAGCCTGTGCATGGATTCCTCTAGACTCTGCCTGTGTTTTTTCTCCCTTATCATATAGCTATATATCCTTACTATGTCACAGTAATAAATCTTAGCCATAAATACAACTATATGCTGAGTCCATGAGTCTTTCTAGCAAATTTTTGAACATGGGGGTGATCTTGGGGACTGCTGACACAGAAAGTATGCAGCCTTGTTTGTATTAGTAGACAAAAAAGAAAGAAGAAAAAAGAAACTATCAAAATGAAATGAATAAACTATTTATTTAAAAAATAATGTAGTAGCTTTATATACTAATGCAGAAATATTTCTAATACACGTAACTGAGTAAAAAACCTGATCACATTCTAGGCCACAAAACAAGTTTCATAAATACTAAAGAATACATAATAGACTCTTCTTACTAAAATATAATAACATTAGAAAGAAATGACAAAGGTAACTAAAAACACCCCATAGATTTGAAATTAATATTACATACATACATAACCCTCAATAATTCATGAGTTAAAGAAGAAATATTTTGGAAAATAGAAGATTTAAGAAATCAAAATCAGTAAAAACACTATATGTCAAAATGTTTAGGATGCTACTAAAGAGGTACTGTGTAACCTAAAATGGACTGATTCAGAAGAAATCCTGAAGATTAATAAACTAGACCTACTTAAGAATGTTTTTAAAAAGTAAATTTCAAAAAACTAAAAGAAGGAAGTAATAAAGGGTAGAAATTAATGAAACAGAAAACAAAGAAATAATAATACACTTAATAAAACCAAAATATGGTTCTTTAAAGAAACTATTACAATAGAAAAACCTTTAGCAAGATTTATCAAGAAAAAAGAAAAAAAGCAAAAATCAAATTTAGGTATAAAAAAGTGACAAAAATACAGACACAGTGGACATTTAAAAAATTAATGAAAGCATTATGATAGCAATACATTTAAAAATTTAGATAAAAACAATTTTCTAGAAAAATATAACTTCTCAAGATTGACCTTTGAGGAAATCGAAAACATGATAGAAAGATAGAAAATAACATGTGATGAAGATGCAGAGAAAAAAAGGGAACTCATACACCATTGGTGGGAATGTAAATTAGTACAACCTCTACAGAAAATATTCTGGAGATTTTTCAAATAATTAAAAATAGAACTACCATTTGATCCAGCAATCCCACTACTGAGTATCTACATGAAGGGGAAAAAATCAATTTATCAAAAAGATATCTGTATTTGTACATTTATCACAGCATTATTCATAATAGCAAAGATACGGAAACAACCTAAGTATTCATCAATGAATGAATGGATAAAGAGAATGTGATATACATACATAATAGAATACTATTCAACCATAAAAAATGAGATAATGTCTTTTGTAGCAACAGGAATGCAACTGGGAGGTCATGTTAAGTGAAATAAGCAAAGCACAGAAAGTCAAATATTGCATATTCTCACTCATGAGTAGCTAAAAATTGTACGCACACATGGATGTAGAGAGTGGAATGATAGGCAATAAAGATTTGGAAAGGTGAAGGGTTGGGATGAGGGTGGATGATGAAAAATTACTTAATGGATACAATGTATTAATATATTATTTGGATAGCCTAAAGCCCTGACTTGACTGCTACACAATCCATACATGTAACAAAATTATACTTGTACTCCATAAATTCATACAAATTAAAAAAAAAGAATTTGAGTAAGCAGTTTAAAATTCGATCTCAAAAAATATTAAGCCCACAGAGATTTAGAAATAAGGTCTAATGAATTATCCTTCAAGGAACATATGAGTCTTCTCCTATACAAACTAATCCAGGGGTCCTCAAACTACAGCCCGCTGGCCACATACAGCCCGCCAAGGACATCCATCTGGCCGCCGGGTGTTTTTGCAGAGGCTGCCTGTCATGGTTAGCAGCCTACTCATCCCGGGCCCACAGTGCGCATGTGCGGAATGTGCTCTACCTTCTCCAATGGTCAGGGACAGTGAACTGGCCTCCTATTTAAGAAGTTTGAGGACTCCTGATCTAGAGAGCTCCCACATTAATTTTATGAGGCAAGAACTACCTTAATAGATTTGAAAAGGATAGGGTAAGAAGATAAAATTATAGGATCATTTTATTTGCTTCCATAGATACAGCTATGCTATTAATATGTAAAATATTAGCAAATTGAATCCAGTAAAATATAAAACATGACTAAGTAGTATTCATCCCAGCAATTTAAGGATGGTTTAATAGTAGAAAGCTATATTACCAATTAGTCAAAATCTAATGTCCATTCATGACAAAACAGGTAGTAAACTGGAACTAGAAAGGAACTTCCTGAAACTCTTATTTGTTATCTTTCCATAACCTACTGCAAACATAGTACTTAATAGTGACAATGTAGAAGCATTCTTTTGAAGTCAGTAACTTACTATCAGTGTTTCTATTCAACACTGTACTAGAAGTCCTAGTCATCACGCTAAGAAGAAAGTAAAGGAAATTAACCCTTTGCACTTGGATGTCGAGTGTAACTCGACACGGTTAGCAAAAATTATAGAGATTAAAATTACTCTTTGAATGTATCAGTAATTTGAAATATAAAAAAATACAAATAAATAAGTTTGTATGAAAAGAAACTCCAGTTTTTTATTCTACTGCTGCGCTTTGTAAAATCTGGGGTATTTAAAAAGTTAAATCCCGAGTAGAATAAAGAAATTGAGAAAAAAGCAAGTTAGTGCAAAGGGTTAAAAATATGAGTATTTGAAAGAAACAATAGTTGTTCTTTGCAGATAATAGTCTATAGAGAAAAATCCAAAAAAATTACAAACCATTAGAACTAAAAAGAGGGTTCAAAGATACCCTTGATAAAGAGAAATATACAAAAATCATAATTTCTATACTCTAGCAACAATTGAAAAATATAAAAAGATACTATTTAAACAGCAGTTAAAATAACACAATAAATTAACCAAAGATGATTAAAACCTTTATGGAGAAAATTATAAATCTTTATTGAAAGATATGAAATAAATGGAGTAATACATGTGATTATGAATGGGAAAGCTAAATATTGTAAATATTAGGAAAGACTACTTATTGCTATTTCCTTCTTAGTAGAAGTAGCTCTATGATGTGGTACTTCTGGGCTCTCTGAATCCCTTCACTACCTCTGTCCCAGGGGAAGCAGAGTAATTTAACTAGTAAAGGAAGTAATGATTTAACTCCCTTCTTGAAAAAGGAGTGTTCTGGGGGAATGTGACCTGTTCCTCCAAGAGAAGCTCTCCTCCCATGTGGAAAGACCTCAGTCTAGTATTCCCTATTTTTGGGTGATTGTGATTGACTATTTCTGGGATCTGTTAATATGCCTGTTTGGCATTCTCACTAAGCTAAGCAGCTGTTTTCACCTCTTCACTGTCATAGTTCTCAATTTGTTTAGTTATTAGATAAACAAGGGTGCTACTTATTGGATTCTGTCAAAGATTCCAATAGGAAAGGTGGCAGATCTCTCCCAAAATTAATGTATAAACTGAATGCAAATTCTGATTAAAATTATCAATGAGATTGTCATGTCACTTGAGAAGTTGTTTCCTAAAATCCATAGGAAAGTGTAAAGGGCCAAGAATAGTCCCTAAGACAGTGAAGAAAGAGAAAGAAATAGTGAGAAAGAGAAGGAGGTGAAAGAGAAGAATTATAGCCACTTACTCTATCAGACATCAAGGCTTAATATAAAACCTTAGTAATTAACACAATAAAAAATTAGTATAGGGATAGATAAATAGGCCAATGAATACAATGTAGAAACCTAAAAGAGACCTTCTTATACTTAACATAGGAAGTTTGCACTATTACCAGTTGGAAGAAGACACAAGTCAATAAATTGTGCTGAGATAACTGGCTATGCATACAGAAACAGATAAAATTAAATCATTTTCTCATACCATATAAAAATAAGTTATATACAACTATCAGTAATTTAACTAATAAATTAGAAGAGTAACATACTTACTGGATTGCCATAAACTGTAAGCTCTCTGAGAGAAGAGATAACATCAAGTTTTTCCAGTTCTGTGATATCCTATTCAAAAGTTAATAAGTTATTATTTGGTTAGACCCACCATCTTCAAATATAGCCTAACTTGAACTGATTATATGTAAGTGTTGGATTGCAGCTATCTCATGACTAAATCTTTTAAAGTGAGCTTGAGTGACGGTATTCTGTTTTGTTGAACAAAGGCAGATATGTTTACTGTAGATTCCAAATACATGACTGGCAAACATGACAGTCTAAAATGGAAAATCGGCCATATAGCAGCACTTACAAGAAAAGACCAAATTTCTTCTCAGAAGAGTTTTGATTTATTCTAGGAATATTTGGTTAATTCTTCTAGAATATTGACTAAGAAATGTGGAAAAGGCGAACCCAGTCTAAACAATTTCAAAGGTACATATTTAAACACAACTTTAACAGTAAAGCAACATGAGATATTAAGTAGCCTGCTATACTTACTGGGAATATATATAGCTGAAAAACTATTTCTCTAGTTAAATAATTCACCTTCCCTGTTGCATAAGATTATTTATTATTATCCATTTAACATTTGTGGAAGTTTGCAAGTATACCTTTTCTAAAAAAAGAATCCTGGGTTTCTTCAGCGTACCTTTTAGTTTTTGCAAAATTATTTCTAAAATGCTATTTCTTACAAAATTTAGCCAACAAGCTCAGCTTCAGGTTATTGTTAGTTCGTAGTAATACAACAAAGTTATTGATATACCCATATTCCTATTGGGAATTAAAAGTGTACATACAACTGCAGACATATTTTAGATCATTTGGAAGTAGAATTTGATTTTTAAAATGACTGATCTTTAACAATTTTGATTTTGGAAGTATCATAAAGGAAGGCTTTACAAAGCTTTAACATCTTATTATCTATAGAGATACTGTGTATTTTTGCTCACAGGCAGTTTCTATCTGTGGAATCAAAGCCTGATTATAAATCATGGACATATGAAAAGTTTTACATTATTTTCTCAAATTAAAGAGAATATAGCAGTGTTCACTAGTGAAATATTTCTAATCAAAATGTTCTTTTCTCATAGAAAATATGGACTAGAAATAGACCGAGAATGAGAATAGACTGTTAAATGTGAGGAGGATAATGCTGGTATAAAGTTTTAAAGAGACATCAAACAAACTAGTATGCCCATAACTTGAGGGGAGAGGTTTCCCTCTCCTGATGGTTTCCCATTTTTAATATAGGATAATTTTTACAGTGGTGCATTGGAATTACCTTATACAGGCTCACAAAAGTCAATTGGTGAATTTTGTGAGATGGAGTTTTAGCTTGAAATTGTCAATGGTAGAAGAAATTACACTATGGAAATTGGCAAATGCTGCTAATTAGGGTTCCCCCCAGAAAGCCAGTTAAACATGAACCAGCACACCAGTGGTTGTTACCTTTTGAGTATATTGTTAGGATAAGCCCTTAAGGTAGTAATAGTAGAGGTCCAGATTAGGACCTTCATTTAGGACAAGACACTTAGCAATAGACTGTTTCCTGGAGTCATTTCCAGCTTCAGGTGATTATTTAGATGTTTAAAAGTAGACAGAGAAGCTGGATGCCAGGTAGGAGAATCATTTAGATTCAAGGATCAAATGAGACTATAAAGCTGAGTTAAATAACTCATCTTTCAATTGTGTGTCTGTGATTCTTCCTGAAGAAGTAAGACAACAGGGAATAATTTTCCAAAGCTATGTTGTTGGACACGATGGCTAAGTCAAAAGCTTCACACCAAAATCTGTTATCAAGGATATGCAGCTTCTGAAAGACATTTAAGTGGGTCAATGAAGAACTGTATATGCCTTCATTTGAAATACTGCTGTTTTGCTAATTATTCTAGGCATTTCTCTTTCTATCCTATTAATCTTTTTCAACCCAAAGGTCATAATTCAATTGTCCAGTTGTGGAAATTAATATTGATATCAGCCTGCCCATGTTGGTATAAATCTAGAGACAAAAATCTATTAAATAGATTTGAAACCAAGAGTTAAGAATTTTGAAGAACATATTGGTATATTTTCAGAACTCAGCAGAATTTCCAATATAACCTTCTTATTTCTCTGAGTTCATTTTTTCCCCAGCAAAATATATGATCATATTAAGGTACTATAATATTAATGGTTAGAATAAATTTAATGGCAAAATGATCAATCTAAATTCAATGAAAAATACCATTTTTGCTGGGCACAGTGGTACATGTCTGTAATACCAGCACTTTGGGAGACTGAGGTAGAAAGATTGCTTGAGGCCAGGAGTTTGAGACCAGCCTGGGCAACATAGCAAGATGCTGTCTCTATAAAAAAATAAAAAAATTATCTGGACATAGTGACATGCACCTGTAATCCCAGCTACTCGGGAGGCTGAGACAGGGGGACTGCTTGAGCCAGGAGTTTGAGGTTGCAGTGAGCTATGATCATGCCATTGTACTCTATCCTGGACAACAAAGTGAGACCCTGTCTCCAAAAAGAAAAATAGTATTTTAAAGGTAAACAATCATTAAATAATCAATAATTCTTATCTTTTCATTCAATGATATGTTTAATCTCCCATGGTTTATGATACAGGTTGTCATTTAGCTATATTAGATTTTGATAATAAATAAGCTTGGCTAAAAATTATTTTATTTTATTTTTTATTTTATTTATTTATTTTTTTTTGAGACAGAGTCTCGCTTTGTTGCCCAGGCTAGAGTGAGTGCCGTGGTGTCAGCCTAGCTCACAGCAACCTCAAACTCCTGGGCTCGAGTGATCCTTCTGCCTCAGCCTCCCGGGTAGCTGGGACTACAGGCATGCGCCACCATGCCCGGCTAATTTTTTATATATATATTAGTTGACCAATTAATTTCTTTCTATTTATAGTAGAGACGGGGTCTCACTCTTGCTCAGGCTGGTTTTGAACTCCTGACCTTGAGCAATCCGCCCGCCTCGGCCTCCCAAGAGCTAGGATTACAGGCGTGAGCCACAGCGCCTGGCCTAAAAATTATTTTATTTAATACTGGGGAGGAAGTTGCTATACCAGCTGATCTTCCATCTATTCACTCCTTTAAGAGGGATAGGGAGATAGGAGGTGGAAGCAGGGCATTCCTGAGGAAAAGCAGGTTACCTGGTCTAAAATTGTAAGGATGCTGGTAACTGAATGTCCTGTCAATAGAGCAATGACATTTGCTGAGAAGATGATACTTATTTATGGTATTCTCTTAGCAGATCTCCCTGGCTAAGGACTGCTTATAGCAAAAAACAAAACAAAACAAAACAAAACACCCCTAGAATCTACAGAATTATAAGGCATGGCTCCCTATAAAATGTAACATAAGCTCAAGTATAATATGGAGATGTTTCATAAATGAAACACTCTCATGCTATATAAGATCACCCAACAAAACTCACTTGAAAATTTCATCTTTTATGCTAAGCTAAACACTGTGAGATACGGGAAGGAAAGATCTGAGAAACCACTAAGAATGTCCTAGGTCCTGTGTATCCTTGACATTATTAGAAAAGCTTGATACCAGGTAAGAACCCTAACAAGTATAAGTCTGATTCTACAATCCTTTGTGTTAAATCCTTAGCTCAGTTGTTATCGCTGGAAAGATTTCCCATAGAATCTAAATTTTCCTAATTTAGATTTCTTCTGGATAAGGCTTTGAAAGAATCATTGCCAGTTTGGCAGGCTTTTCTCAGATGAATGTTTGAATCTGGATAAATTAGTTGTTTACTATTTTTTCTGTATGTGCATTCCCTAGTTGCTATGTGGAAAGGGATGCACTGCTCATGATTTCCTTCTAACTTTGTACAGGGCTTTTATATCATCGCAGAAAAGGCTTCCTAAACTCTAGGAAATAAGCCACAAACAAATGTTAATTGAGTATCTACTATGTACCAGGCACTGTGCCATATACTGATACAAATGAGGACAAGATAGACTTGGTCCTTGCCTTTGGGGCACAGGGGGTTAGTTCACAGTTCAGTCTGTCTTTGAGGCTGTCTTAGAGGTATAGGCGGGAGTAGTAAAGTAGGTAATAGGAGGGCTAACAGATAATTACTGAAATTCTGAGAGAAATGTGAGAGTTGTTTAAGGTTATATCTTCAACTTTCTTAATTGTATAATATCTTAGGAGAGAGTCTGAGCAGGCTTAGTTGGGGCAGTGGCCTCAAAATAACTGGTTGAATTCTGAGCAGGTGAAACTAAGGTAGGAGCCTATCTAAGGAAGCCTTGAGTGGGGTGAGATGTAATATTAAAACCAAGTCAAAGTCCATTAAAGGAAACCAATTCAAATGCCAGGTAGATCAAGTACATATGCCAAGTTTAAAGGGCCAGAGGATGTCTGGAATTGAGATGCAGAAACAACCTGACCAACAGCAGTCAAGGAGCAAATGAGATCTCTCAGAGAGAAGTGACGAGAAAAGCCTTAGAACATTTAGAGCTAACCTTTATTAGTGGGTGGCGGCATGTGGATTTGTCCAGTTTCATAGTCTAGAAGCAAGGTGGACATCTCTACATTAGAAAGTATTTGTATACCTTGAAATATGCATGATATATAAATGGTAAATAGCACACTAGCAAAATTTTCATTGCTGTGTTTGAAGCTTTATGTTCAGAGCTCAGAAGAATTAAGGTTTGCAAATCTCATAACAAAAAACAAAATAATGTTACCTGGATTTTATTGTATCCTAGGAAGAGTTTCTCTAGTTTTACCAAAGACTGTAATTTGCTCAGCTCTCGTAGTCTGTTTTCCTCCAGATGAAGTGTCAACAAAGAACTTGGTTTGGCAAAAGCACTGTCATTAAATGCTCTGATGCGGTTATGGTCCACTACCAATTCCTGAAGGACTACTAAGTTGTCAAGCCCTTCAACTTGACTTATTTCATTCCCTACAAAAAGATAAGTTATGATATATCAGGTGAGCCCAAACTCCCCAAATTGAAGCTTATCTACCTTCATTTAAATATTTTTATCAAATGATTTTTTAAAAAGGGTACTAAAAAACTTATTTCCAGGGAGATATTGAAATGTAATTTACAGAAAGGTAGCATCATCATCAGTAATACTTGTTAAAGTTTCTCGTTGGTGTTTGAAAGATCAGGAGGTGATGATGTACACAATGTACTAAATTGAACTAATCTGTTCAATAATTACGCTAAAATAGTTGGTTTTGACAAAAGTAGATATATAAAAGTGCTGTAAAAGAAGATTGCTTTCTGAGTATATCAGTTATTCTAATAGGTTTTCTACTAGTATAGCTAATTATTTCTTAAAATTATTGTGTTAAGTTGGAAGAATACACATTAATTATGCTGTTCTTTGTCAGTATATTCTTGCACTGCAGCTATATTAAACAAATTAGAATTCATCTCATGCTTTAAAACTCTAAACTCTTCTTTGTAACCTATGATTTCTCTCTACTGTAGCTATCAATAGCTTTATAAATATTAATAACTTATATGAGAAGATGATGCTTCAACTTACAAAATGCTTTTATATATACAGTATTTTCTATTAGAGTCTCAAAGTACAACAGGGAAAATATTATCTCTTTTTAATAATCAGAAAATTTAAGGTCAGAGAAATTAAGTGACTCGCTGAAAGACATAAAAGTAGCAACATCAGGCTTAACTTAGACACTTTACACTTTAAGCTCAATGAAATTTCTAGTATGTTCTTTCTAGTATGTTCTCAGTGATCTTTCTAGTAATGTATCTTTCTACATTAAATTCAATATCCATCCTCCTTGTTTATTATGGGGTGAATTGTAATCCCCCTTTGATATGCTTTGGATGTCTGGCTCCTCCAAATCTCATGTTGAAATTTGATCCCCAGTGTTGGAGGGGCCTGGTGGGAGGTGTTCAGGTCATGAAGGTGGATCCCGGATGAATGGCTTGGTGCCCTCTGCCACAATGAGTGAGTTATCACTTGTTAGTTCATGTGAGGGCTGGTTGTCTGAAACATCCTAGCAGCACTTCCTCCCCCTTTCTCCTCTAGCCATGTGATATGCCTGCTCCCCTTTCCCTTCCACCTAGATTGAAAGCTCCCTGAAGCCCTCACCAGAAGCAGTTCTGTACAGTCTGTATAATTGTGAGCCAAATAAACCTCTTTCTTTATAAATTATCCAGCTTCAGGTATTTTCTTTATAGTAGTGAAAACCAACACACTCCTCAAATTTATATGTTAAAGTCCTAACCTTCAGCACCTCAGAATGTGATGGTATTTGGAGACACGGTCTTTAAAGAGGTAATTAAGATTAAATGAAGTAATTGGGGTGAATCCTAATTCAATATGACTGGTGTCCTTATAAGAGGAGGAGCTTAGGGAAGATGGCAGGCTAGAAGCAGTCTGCAAGCATGCTGCTCTCAAGGAAAAGATAGTAAATTGCAGGCAGATATCTTTTCTCGGAAGGAACATTGTGAAACCCCAGAGAAGTGATGCAGGACACTCACAGTGAAGGAGAAGGTAACAGGGTGATTCATTTGACAAGATGAACTTGAAGGGATCTGTGGGGAGGCATATACATTTGAGAAAGATTAGAAGGACAGAATGCTTGGGTGCTGTGCTCACCTGGACTGACTGGGGAGCTGCCTAGAATCTGTGCAGAGGCATTGCACATGAGAACAGGTGCAGTAAGGGTCTGGTGGTTGCCCATCCTGAGCTCTCAGGTACACGGTGCCGGGTCTGCACAGGACTCAGGTTTGCAGCAGTGCAGGTTTGCATCACCTCCGCCAGGCTAGCCAGGGAGCAGACTGAGCAGATGCTCCCCTGAGCTATATCCTGTGACTGGAGCCAAGTGCTCCTCCCCTCCTGCATGGAAGGATCTGAGCAGAGGTGTCGCCTCATTGCCTCAGGTGCTCAGGGCTTGATCTGGGAAGCTTTCAGTGACTGCCTCAATGGGACCTAGGGGTGGGGTGGGTAGAATTCCATGGTCCCTGGGCCACTGGAACCAAGCCCCGCCCATGCAACTTGGCATCCACAGTCCCCAACCTGTTGTAACAGTCTGCCGCCTTCGTGCCCAAGTTTGGAACAGCCTGTACAGCCCCGATTTCACAGGCCCTAGTTGTGGTTCTGAGGCTTTCATGCTGGAGCCTGAGGCCCTGCCCCTGTGGCTCCAGAGCTGCCAGGAGGTCCCGAATACCTCCCCAGAGATGACAGAGTTGCACCTGGACCCCAAGAACCCAACCCTGAGTCTCCACCACTGCTGCTGGGCTAATGGAACTGCCCTGAGGTCCAATGCCTTGCCAGGGAATCCCAGGCTCAAGCCATCATTATACCAGGACCTGGTTTGAGCAAGTGCCCACACCCTGTACACCCACAACCACTGCCTAAATAGTCTTACCCAGCTGTCATTGCCACCTCTGTGGGGAGAGCCCAGGCAGAGCAATCCTCACAACACAAGCTTTTCTGGAGAGAGTCTCCCCCAGACCCCAATTCGAACTTCCTACAACAACCTGGGGGAACAACCCACCACGCTGCACAAAGATCATCCAGTGCTGGCTTGAACTGTGGCAATCTTAGTCAAATAGGACAAAACAGAACAGCTGCACTACAGGCTTTTAGTGCATATGCTCCTCTCCTGCTGAATCAATACTTCAGAATAGGAAAAAAGTGTCTCTTGGGATGTTCTATTCTTCTAATTAAACAAGAGAGTTCTCAGCAAAAGAGATCAGGTGCCCTGCATGCCTATTAGCCCTAAGTAGAGAAAAGAGGATTCAGATGAGAAGAAACCAGAAAAAGAACCCTGGCAACATGAAAAAGCAAAACAGTTTGATACCCCCAAGGTATCACAATGCAGCTACAGTAGTGGGATCCAACCACAAGGAAATTGTCCAAAAGACAAAAATGTAATTCAGAATATGGATGGCAAATAAAATGAATGAATTGAAAAGAAAGTTAAAAACCAATAAAAAGTAAAAAAATAAAACAACAACAACAACAAAAAACCCCTCAGGAAATCAATGAAAAAGTCACTAAAGAACTAGACAACATAAGAAAGGATAAAATAGAACTTAAGGAAAAGAAAGTCATTTAGGGAATTTCCAAACACAGCAGATAGTTTCAACAGACTAAACCAAGTAGAAGAAAGAATCTCAGAGTTTGAAGCAAGGCTATGAGCTAACTCAGTTATTCAAAGAGGCAGAGAAGAAAATTAAAAAAAATGGGTAATCACTTAGAGAAATATGGGATCATGTGAAGCAAACCAACATACTAACGATCTGCCTCCAATGCATGTAGCCCCTTATTAGTTACTCCACAACCTGCCCCAAGGCATGTGGCCCCTTCTTTAAAAATCCCATGATCTCCATTAGTTGGAGAGATGGATTTGAGGCAGCTTCTCCAGTTCTCCTGACAAGATGTCCTTCATATTAAAAAATTTCTTTCTTCCTTGGCAATCCTCATTGTCTCAATAATTGGATCTTTGTGCAATGAGTAACTGGATCTAGACTGAAACCCTCTTGTGGTTTCAACAACAAAATTATTCAACCTCACTAAACTTCAATTTATTTTTTTTGTAAAATACATATGATAATACTTACCATATAGGGTTGCTGTGAAGATTAGATAATCTATATAGATAAACATCTTTCCCAGTAACTCCATAAATGTCAGCCATTATTGTCAGAGTAAACTGCCTCACTTCCTGCATAAGGCGTCCCTTTTCTGATTTGCCATGCTAACCATGGCAACAGAACAAACTCCTTCTTTTCATTATTAGATTAAAATAGACCTTCCAGGGATAGGTTGTCAGCTTTTTTGTATGTCAATGTATCTTTTAAAAGATCTGTCATTGTATTCAATTTCTTGTTTTTTTAAGGCTAAGTCTACATGTTCTTGATCCAAATCACAAGTACCTTTGATAGGCAAAAAGATGCATTAAGTGATTTAAAAGTATGGTCTAGAAAAGCCTGTCTTTCAGAAAAAAGTTACTATCAACTATGCAGATATCTTCCCATATATCTCATTGATGGGTCTTCCAGCCTTTCTCCTATGTCACTGAATAATTATTGTTAGACTAATGTTCTAAACCCTATGTTTTCTCATGCTACTTTTCTAAAAATTTATAGTTTCTATCTATCATTAAGTACATACTGTCCAAATTTCTCTTCTTGGCTTTCCATAATTTGGTTCTTCTGTATATTTTCAACTTCAATTCTTCACTATTCCACAAAATAAAAAATATTACTATAAAGAAATGAGGCTTACTTAAAATTAAACTAAATAAAATAACATCAAAATGGGTATTATCTATCAAGTTGATCATGTTTAGAAGCTTAATAATTCTCTCCAAGAACTGCATACTCTTCGTTCTCACCAGGTTGGTCCCTTTCCAAGAACTGGCCACAGACACTACAATCATGCCCTGTGACTCTTTTCCTCCTCCCTCTGCTGGCAAAGCTCTCAGTATTGCTCACCTTCAATCTAAATTCTATCTATCCTTCAAAGAATCCTAGATATGTAGAGGAGTTAATTGTTCAATTTCTCTTTTTTCTGAACTTCTGTTGCACTTAATTTAGTAACACATTAAGTAGAACTTAATTCATCATTGTCTCAGTACTTCTCCACAGGCAGATCATAAACTACTTTAGATCAAGGATCTCAATTATATATAATTATAGTAATATAATACTTTCATATCTTTCATAGTACTTAGCATAATTCTGGATTTAATAAATACTTTTGAATTACTGGTTACTTTTCATTATTTTTAAGTTGAGTATGATAGAAAAGTAAATTACAATATAATACTGTGTATACCCTAGTATATACAGTATTTATATTGCATTTTCTTCAAACATGGTTTTTAAAAATATATAAATAATACAAGAAAAATCCATTTGTGATTATTGTAATATTTTTGCCAATAAGTCTGTTTGAGTAAATGTTGGTGCTTATATTTGCTTATCAAAACATGAGGATAATGTCACTTTTAAATAAAGTCTAAGTAATAAAGACTTAGACATTAACAGTGTTTCTACTTACCCTGTAGAAAGAGGAATTTTAAATTTCTCAGTCTGTTAAGTTGTAGCTGGATTAAATTACAAATTCCATTGTAGCCCAGATGAAGAACTTCTAAACTGTGCATTATTGGAGGCAAATTTTCACTGCACATTGTATCTCTGAAACACATAGGTAGGTTTGAGGCCATAAACTTAATTTCAAACCAGCTATATCATAAAAAGACAATATGGTCTGTTTTTACTACAAATTAAAATTAATAAAGCAAACAATGAATTTATTAATATATCAGAATTAAGCTATATTATGTAGTCTTTTGTGTTTTATATAATAATACTTTTGATTATTTAAAATATTTTTATATGGTAAAGAATAAAAAAGTACATAAAGTGTTACAATGAAAAAGCAATAGCTAATGCAATCAAATAAGAAAAAGAAGAATGAAAGGCATCCAAATTGGAGAGGAATAAGTAAAACTGTCTTTATTCCTCTATTCTCAGATGACATGATCCTGTATTTAAAAAATCTTAAGGGAACCACCAAAAAAATAACTGAACTAATAAATGAGTTTAACAATGTCATAGGATAAAAGATTAATATGTAAAAATTAAGTGAATTTCTACATACCAGCAATAAATAATCTGAAAATGAAATTAGAAAACAATTCTGTTCATAATAGTATAAAAAGGAATAAAACACTTCAGAATAAGTTTATCAAAAGAATTGCCAAATATATATAGAGAGATCTATAAACCAAGGCTGAGAGAAATTAAGGAATATCTAAATAAAGTGACAAATAGTCCATGTTCATAGATTAGAATATGCGATACTACTAAGATGGCAATTCTCCCAAATTAATCAATAGATTTAAAACAATCTCTATCAAAAGCCCAGGAGGCTCCCTCCACCCACGACCAGCTTTTCCTAAAATTTATAAAGAGATGCAAAGGCCCAGAATATCCAAAACAATCTTGAAAAAGAACAAAGTTGGAGGGCTTAAAGCACTGATTTTAAATTTTTTTATAAACTATAGTAATCAAACCAGTCTGGCACTGGCAAAAGGACAAACATCTAGATCAATGGAATAGAATTAAGTCCAGAAATAAATCTTTACATTTATGATCAATTGATTTTCAAGAAAGGTACCATGGCAATTAAGTGGGAGGAAGGATAGTGTTTTAAACAAATGGTGCTGACAGTTGAATATCCACATGCAAAAAGATGGATTTAGGCCTTACCACTTTACCCTCCCCCCCCTATATATATATAAACATTAACTCAAAAGGGATCATAGGACTAGGTGAAAGAGCAAAAACATAAAACTTTTTAAAGAAAATATGAGAAAATCTTTGTGACCTTAGGTTAGGCAAGGAATTGTTAGATACAACACTGAAATCACTGTAAGAGAAAAAATTGATAAATTTGATTTTATCAAAAGTTAAATTTCTTCAAAGACACCATTTAAGAAAGTAAAAAGACATACCGCAGATTGAGAGAATATTTGTAAATCATTTATTTGATAAATGGTTTATATCTAGCATATTTAAATAACTCAATAAAAAGCCAAGAAAATTAAAAAACAAGCAAAATATTTGAATAGATATTTCATGAAAGAAGATATATGAATGGCTAATAAGCATATGAAAAGCCATTCAGCATTATTATTAGGGAAATGCAGATTAAAATCATAATCAGACACCACTTCAAACCTACTAGAAGGGCTATTCTCATGGTTGGGATGTGGCAATGTCATAACATGTAACCAAAATGTTTATACCCCCATAATTTCCTGAAATAAAAACAAAATTAGGCAATGACAAACATTGGCAAAGATGTGGAGAAATTAAAAACCTCAAATACTGCTAGTGGTAATAAAAAATGGTACAACCACTTTCGAAAACATTTTATCAGTTTCTTAAACATTAAATTACCATATGACTCAGAAATTCCACTCATAGGTATATAACCAAGGCAAACATAATGAAAATGAGTGCACAAATATTAATACTTGTACACAAATGTTTATAACAGCCATTATTCATACCAGCCAAAAAGAAGAAACAATCCAGATGGATTAGTGAATAGATAAACATGATGTGGCATATCCATATAATGAAATATCCATATATTCAGCACTACTAATACATGTCACAATGTGAACAAACCTCAAAAACACTATGTTAATAAGCCAGATGGAAAAGACCACCTACTGTATGGTTCCATTTATATGAAATGTCTCGAAAACACAACCCTATAGAAAGCAGATTAGAAGTGGTTTGGGGCTAGAGGTGGAAAAGGGAATCTACTGCAAATGGACATGAAAGATCTTTCTGGTGTGATGGAAATGTAAAATTGTATTGCAGTAATGATTGCACAACTCTATAAATTTAGTAAAAGTCACTGAATTATAAACCTAAAATGAGTGAACATGGTATGTAAATATCACTTCAATAAAGCTGTTAGAAAAGTCAAGTATGAATAGGCTCCAAAAAAAGATATGTATAAATGAAATGTTCAGAGTAACTTTAGTCATAATGGCCTCAAATTGGGAACAACCCAAATGTCCATCAGTGATAAGTGGATAAACAACTTGTCATATACTCCATATATAATACAATACTACTCAGCAATAAAATGAATTGAATTACTGACACTTGCAACAACATGGATGAATCTCAAAAGCATTATGCAAGTGACAGAAGCTGGACACAAAAGACTACTTATTATATAATTTCAATCATATGAAATTCTAGTAAAAGTTATAGTATAGCAGATCAGTGATTCTTTCCAGGGGGAAGGAGATTGCAAAAAGATATAAGGGAACTTTTTGGGATGGAAATATTTTGTATGTTGATTGTAGTAGTGGTTATATGACTGAATACATTTGCCAAAATTCATTAAACTATACCCATACATTGGTAGATTCTATTATATGTAAATTGTAGTTCAATAAAGCTGATAAAAACCACAAGGAATGGTCTTCATTGGAAAAACTGAGATGAAAGTATTATGACTTTGAGATAGATAGATAGATAGATAGATAGATAGATAGATAGATAGATAGATAGATAGACAGATAGATAGATGCTCTATGAAAAATGTATAGGAAAGTGGACGATACATCCTCATCTTTTCATGAAGTATCTTTTCCACCAGTGCTGGGGCATTAAGTGACCAGATAAATAATTTAGAAATAAAAAAACCAAAAACAAATGCTAAAAGAAACCCAAGTCCATGCAACTGAATACAGGGTTCCTTTGTGGGGTGATGAAAATGTTCTGGAATTAGATAGTGGTAATGGTTCAACAACTTATAAATATACTAAAAATTACTGAATTGTACACAAAGGGTGAGTTTTGTGGTGTGTGAATTGTATCTCAATTTTTAAAAAGAAACTCAAGGTTGTTAAACATACACTAAAAGCCTTTATATTCTTTTGCTTTTTGATTTTTTTCTTTATTTACAATATAGGCATGAAATGGAGGAAGTGGGGGATAACCAATGACAAGCAAATATTTTGAGTATAATTTTATTTGTGAAGTTTATTTTTGGCATGTAGCTATTAAATAAAGTTTGTACTCTGTAATACTCTGAAATAAAAAAAAGTAATAGAAAAATCCTAAGAAAAGCTAAATTAAATCCAGCCTTACATTAAAAAAAATAAGCTAAAAGGATGCACTGGAATGTGTTACTGCTATCATTAATGTGATTAACTGCTTTTTATTTATTATTACTATTCTTTTCAACATAAGGAATTTAATATAGAGAAATGCTTACAAGGCTAGATTGCTGAAAGAGCAAGAAGGGGTATACTGAGGTATCACAGAGATAGTAACTCAGGGAAGCAGCTACCATACCTAGGAATGAGAAACATAGGATGTGGCTGAGGGGTTATCATTCTTTTTTATCTCAGAGTAATACTCCACGACTCATACATACACACATGTGCACACACACCCACATTTTCTTTATCTACTCATCAGTTGATGGGTATTTAGGTTGATTCCATATTTTGCCATTGTGAATTGTGCTGTGATAAATATACAAGTACAGGTATCTTTTTGATATACTGATTTCTTTTCCTCTGGGTAGATACCAGTAGTGGGAATACAGAATTGAATGGTAGATCTACTTTTAGTCTTTGAGAAATCTCCATACTGATCTCCATAGAGGCTGTACTAATTTATATCTCCACCAACAGTGTGTAAGTGTTCCATTTTCACTACATCCATGCCAACATTTATTGTTTTTGGATTTTTTAATGATGGCCATTCTAATTGGAGCAACATCTTTCTTGTTGTGGTTCTATTAATTTGCATTTTCCTGATAATTACTGATGTTGAGCATTTTTTCATGTTTATTGGCCATATGTATATCTTCTTTTAAAAAATGCCTGTTTATGTCATTTGCCCACTATTTAATGCTTTTTTAAAATTTATTTTCTTGCTGAGGTGTTTGAGTTCCTTCTATATTCTGGATGTTAGTCCTTTGTTAGACACATAATTCACAAATATTTCTCCCATTCTATAGGTTATCTATTTACTTTTTTGATTGTTTCTTTTGCTGTGCAGAAGTTTTTTAGTTTAACTAAGTCCCATTTGTCTATTTTTTTGTTCTTATTGCATTGGCTTTTGGGGTCTTAGTCATAAATTTTTTGCCTAGGCCAATCTCCAGAAGAGTTTTTCCAAGGTTTTCTTCTAGGATTCTTATTGTTTCAGATCTTACGTTTAAGTCTTTAATCCATCTTGAGTTAATTTTTATATGTGGTGAGAGACAGCGATCCAGTTACAGTTTTGGCTATTCAGTTTTCTCAGAACCATTTATCGAATAGTTGTCCTTTACCCAGTCTTCTTTTTGTCTGCTTTCTCAAAGATCAGTTGTACATAGGTATATGGTTTTATTTCTGGGTTCTCTATTCTGTTCCATTGATTTACATGTCTACTTTTATGCCAGTACCATGCTGTTTTGTTTACTGTAGCTTTGTAATGTTCTTTTTGCTTAGATTGCTTTGGCTATTTGGGCAATTTTTTGGTTCCATATGAATTTTATAACTGTTTTTTCTAACTGTGTAAAAAATGAGATTGGTATTTTGATAAGAATTTAATTGAATCTGTAGATTGCTTTGGGCAATACAGTCATTGTAACAATATTGATTCTTCTGATCCATGAGCATGGGATGTTTTTCCATTTGTCTGTGTCATCTATGATTTCTTTCATTAGTAACCTGTAATTGTCCTTATAGAAATCTTTTACTTCCTTGGTTAAATTTATTCCTAAGTATTTTATTGTTTTTTTTTTTTGTTTGTTTGTTTTTTGCAGCTATTATAAATTGAATTGAGTTACTGATTTGGTTCTCAGCCTAGTCATTGTTGATGCTATTAATTTTTGTATGTTGATTGTATAACCTGAGACTTTGCTGAATTCATTTATCAAATATAGGAGTCTTTTGGAGGAGTCCTTAGTGTTTTCTAGGTATAAAATCATATCATAAGCAAATAGATATAATTTAACTTCCTTTTTTCCAGTGTGGATGCTCTTTATTTCTTTCTCTTGCCTGACTACTCTGTCTAGGACTTTTAGTACTATGTTGAATATTAATAGAAGTGGTGAAAGTGAGCATCCTTGTCTTTTTCCAGTTCTTAAGGGAAATGCTTTCAATTCTTCCCCATTCAGTATAATATCAATTGTGGGTTTGTCATATATGGTTTTTGTTATTTTGAGGTATGTTCCTTCAATGCTGAGTTTTTTGAGAGTTTTTATCATGAAGGGAAGCTAGATTTTATCAATGCCTTTTCTGCACCTATTGGGATGACTATATGGTTTTTGTTTTTTAATTCTGTTTATGTGGTGAATTATTATTTATTAACTTGTACATGTTAAGCTATCTTTGCATCCCTGGGATGAAACTCACTTGATCATAATGATGTGCTGTTGATTTTGGTTGGCTAGTATTTTCTTGAGGATTTTTATGTCTATGTTCATCAGAGATAATAGTCTGTACTTTTCTTTTTTGTTGCATCCTTTCCTGGGTTTGGTATCAAGGTGATACTGGCTTTGTAGAATGAGTTAGTGAGGATTCCCTCCTTCTCGATCTTGTGGAACAGTTTCAGTAGGATTGGCACCAGTTCTTCTTTGTATGTCTGGTAGAATTGGGCTGTGAATCCATCAGATCCTGAGCTTCTTTATTGGTGAGAAATTTTCTTATTACTTATTCAATCTTATTACTCATTATTGGTACATTAAGGAGTTCTATTTCTTCCTGATTCATTCTTGGGAGGTTGTATACTTTCAGGAATTCATCCATTTACTCTAGGTTTTCTATTTTGTGAGTATGTATAATTGTTCATAATAGTCTCTGATAATCTTTTGTATTTCTGTGGAATCAGTTGTCTCCTGTTTCATTTCTGATTGTGTTTATTTGGATTGTATCTCCTTTTTTCTTGGTTAGTCTAGCCCATGGTTTATCAATTTTGTCTATCTTTCTGAAGAACCAACTTTTCATTTTCTTGATCCTTTTTTGGTCTCTGTTTATTTCTGCTCTGATCTCTGTCATTTCTTTTTTCCTGCTAACTTTGGGTTTTGTTTGTTCTTATTTGTAGTTCCTTGAGGTACAATGTTAGGTTGTTAATTTGTCGTCATTTTACTTTTTTGATCTAAGCATTTAATGCTATAAACTTCTCTCATAGCACTGATTTTCCTGTATCCCATAAGTTTTGGTATGTTGTATTTTCATTCGGTTCAAAATGTTTTTAAATTTCCATCTTTATTTCTTTGTTGACCTAGTGATTGTTCAGGGGCATGTTGTTTAATTTCCATGTATTTGTATAGTTTCTGAAGTTCCTCTTTGTATTGATTTCTAGCTTTATTCCACTCTAGTCTGAAGAGCTACTAGATATTTAGATTTTTAAAAATTTGTTAAGATTTGTTTTATGGCCTAAAATGTGGCCTATCTTGGAGAATGTTCCATGTGCTGATGAAAAGATGTATATTCTATAGTTGTTGGGTGGAATATTCTCTAAATGTCTGTTAGGTCCATTTGCTCTAAAGTCCAATTTAAGTCCAACATTTCTTTGTTGATTTTCTGGCTTGATATAGTTTAGTGCTGTGAGTGGGATACTGAAGTGCCTCACTCTATTATTGTGTTGGTGTCTATATCTTTCTTGAGGTCTGATAATATTTGTTTTATGAATCTAGGTGCTCCAATGTTGGGTACATATATATTTATGATCATTATATCCTCTTGCTGAATTGATCCCTTTGTCATTATATAATGACCTCCTTTGCCTTTAACTGTTTTTGGTTTAAAGTCTGTTTTATTTGATATATATATAGCTACACCCACTTGCTTTTGATTTGTGTTTGCATGGAATATCTTTTTTCATTCCTTTACTTTCAGTCTATATGTGTCTTTATGGGTAAGGTAAGTTTCTTGTTGGATCACCTTTCTTCATCCATTCTGCCAGTCTGTATCTTTTAACTGGAACATTTTTTAATTCATTTATGTTCAAGATCAATTTTGATATATAAGGTTTTGTTTCTGTCATATTGTTAGTTGATTTCTAGTTGTTTTATAAGTTCTTTCTCTTTTTTGTCTGTGGTTTGCTATACTTCTGTCATGTTACCATTTAATTCTTTTCTATTCCTCCTTTGTGTAATTATTTTATAACATCTGTGAATTTTATATTTTATGTGTTTTCATGATGGTGAATATTGACCTTTTATTCCCATGTTTAAGGCTCCTGTGAGCATTTCCTATATGACATCTAGTGGTGACAAATTCTATTAGAATTTGCTTGTCTCGGAAAGACTATTTCTTCTTCATTTATGAAGCTTATTCCAGTAGGATATAAAATTCTTGGCTGACAGTTTTTTTTTTTTTTTTTTTTTCAGTATTTTGAAAATGCCATCCTATTGTCTTCAGGCTATGAGGTTTCTGCTGAGAGATTCACTGTTAGTCTGATGGGGCTTCCTTTATAAGTCACTAGACACTTTTCTCTTGCTAATTTTAAAATTCTCTCTTTTGCTTTGACTTCAGTTATCTGATTATACTATGCCATGGTGAAGTCCTTTTTGCAGTGCATTTGCCTGGGGAATATTGGCCTTCCTGTATCTGAATGTCTAACACTCTTGCTAGTCTTGGGAAGTTTTCATTATTTCCTTAAATTAGGTTTCTAAACTTTTTTTTTTTTTTTTTTTTTTAGACAGAGTCTCGCTTTGTTGTCCAGGCTAGAGTGAGTGCCGTGGCGTCAGCCTAGCTCACAGCAACCTCAAACTCCTGGGCTCCAGCGATCCTTCTGCCTCAGCCTCCCGAGTAGCTGGGACTACAGGCATGCGCCACCATGCCCGGCTAATTTTTTATATATATATATCAGTTGGCCAATTAATTTCTTTCTATTTATAGTAGAGACGGGGTCTCGCTCTTGCTCAGGCTGGTTTTGAACTCCTGACCTTGAGCAATCCGCCCGCCTCGGCCTCCCAAGAGCTAGGATTACAGGCATGAGCCACCGCGCCCGGCCTGGTTTCTAAACTTTTTGATCTCTCTTCTTACTTGGGAATACCAATAATTTGTAAGTTCAGTCACTTTATGTAGTCCTAGATATCTTGAATGCTTTGCTCATTATTTTTTCCTTATTTTTGTTTTACTGGGTTATTTCAAAACACCTATCTTCATGTTCTCAGATTCTTTCTTGGTTTAACATGTTTTTGAAGCTTTCAATGTGTTCTGTATTTACTTAAATTAATTTTTCAGCTCCAGAATTTCTGTTTTTTTTAAGATATCAATCTACTTGGTAAATTCTCATTCATATCCTAAATTGATTTCCTGATTTCTTTGTATTGTTTTTTCTTGTATCTCATTGAGCTTCTGTAGAATCAATATTTGGAATCTATTAACTTACATTATGAGAAATTCTTTTTGATTGCGATCTGTTACTAGAAAAAAATTGTTGTAGTCATTTGGTGGTGCCATATTTTCTTGATTTTTCATGTTTTCTGTCTTTCCATTGATATCTGAGCATATGATGTGGCAGTCACTTTTTCTATTTTTTTTTGGGAGAATTTAAAGGGGAGAATTTTCCCTGAAGATGTATATATGTTTCTGGTTGAGTAGGGCAGTTTGGCTTTGATTTTGGGTACCTGCAGTAGTGTGGTCTTTGTCTGGTTTCTTAGGCAGATACCATTTATCCTTAGTACACAGGGTCAGTGGTTTCTGTGATATCCTGGGTAGCTTAGGGAACAGTTATTAGTTGAGGCTGTGGTGAAGCTTTGCTAGGGACTTGAATGTAAGATGAGCCAGTCTTTGGGCCCCAGTGGTGGAAGCAGTGGGCTAAGTATGCCTGATTTTAGGACCCAGGGCAGATTATGCTGGCAATGGTATTAGTGCATCCTATGGGGCCAATTCTTGGGCCTTGAGGAGGAGGCTTGCTCAGAATCTAGAAGTTGAAGCAGAGAGCAGGTGTGTGGTGTGTGGGAAGGTTCTCAAGTCCCAGAGCAAGCTGGTGTGCAGTGTGAGGTGGTAGTGATGGTGAAGCCATTCACGAAGACCCAACTGGTCTGTGTTAGTATTATTGGTAGCTGCAATGGATTGGGCAAGTTAGTCCGCAGTCCCATAGCTGCCTGTAACAAGGTGGTAGTATTGTCCAAATGTGATTAGGAAAACTTGGTCTCCCCTTTCCATTCCTGGCTAGGTGGCAGCTGTAGCCATGTTACCTTGAACTCAGGCTGAGGGTGGGGCATAGCTCATTAAATTCTCAGAATGGTGATGGCTGTGGGCTTGCAATCAGGAGGGCAGGGGATTAACTGCTTTTAAAATTCCCAGCCAAAATTATTTGTAATTGTAAAAATCAAGGATAGTACCTGTTTGTTTTTGAAGTTCCTTGCTGTCCATAGCCACTTGAAGCCACTTTGTGGTAGAGTAGTTGTCTGTTGGTTAAATGAGTCTGAGGCTTTACTCTGGGCATGATTGATTCAATATGATTATAGTTGAGGCATAAGACCTACAGAAAGAATATCTTACTAATCAGACATCCTAGAAACTATTAAAATGGTATGGATAAAATATGTAATATACCACATAATTTAATAACATATTAATGTTTAAAATAACACATTTTTATATCCAAAATTATTTGGATTTATTTTTGAATTTTTTTTTGAGACAGGGTTTTGCTCTTTTACCTGGGCTATAATGCATAGCTCATTGCAATCTCAAACTCCTGGGCTCAAGTAATCTTCCTGCCTCAGCATCCCAAATATCTAGGACTAGAGGCATGCACCACCATGCCTGCCTAATTTTTAAACTTGTTTTATGGAGATAGGGTCTTGGTATGTTGCCTAGGCTGCTCTTGAACTCCTGGCCTCTGATGATCCTCCCACTTTGGCCTCCCAAAGAGCTAGGAGTATAGGCATAAGCCATTGCATCTGGCCTGAATGGTTTTTTGATTATCTGACATGTTGGGAAATTACAATACTTCAGATAAAATAATAGAGATCCTAGAAAGCTACTCAATTTTCTCAATCTGTAATCCTGATTTCTCCAAGCCCAATCGGGGATAAAATAACTCCTTAGTGGAAGAGACTAAGGGTTTCCCTATGTTTAAACGGCCTTAGTAAATGCCTTAGTCAAGGCAATAGTAAAGAAGGCAATGAGGCTGCTTTAAGAACCTTAGTATCTTCAACTTTGTTCTAAACTTGCTCACTATAGAGGCAGCTTGCAATCCTATCTCCTACCGCAGAATAAAATTTACAACAGATAAAACAATCACAGAAAACTAAAGTCAAACCAAAATAACTTTGGAAGGTAATACTTTTTTTCTTGCTTAGTAAAAAGCACAACAACAACAAAAAAACTTTCAGGAATAATTTCTCTACTTTAATAACATGGAAATACATTTTAGTCCAAAGTAAAAAAGATAACAACTTTCATTGAAAAGCTTGAAATTAAAAAAAAAATTTGTGAGTGACTCACCTTCACATTAGGCAGATAGACTAATCCACTAAATGAGGTAAGATTATTGTTCTGTAGATTCACATTACACACATTTCTAAACTGATCAACTGGAATCAAATCCACAGTTCTGAATTTAGACAAAGCAAATATAGTTATTATTTTAATATGATAGGAAAAATATAGGAAAGGGTGAGTTATTCCATGTACAATCTCCAAAGGCATTAAAAAAACTCATCTGACAAATTCTGTGAAAAATAATTGCCTTTATTGTGAAATGTATGGGTTAAATTATCAGCTAAACACACATTTTTGTTGGGCGCATATGTAAGAAAATGCTATAGAATTTGATGACTTTCAAAAACGCATCTATTGCCACATAAACATAGCACTATCATAAAAAACATATAAAATCAACCTCTCCAACTTCTTTATAAATTCACATACATGTTCATGAAATCATAATGAAGTTTATACAGTAAATCATAAGATGCTCATGTTATAAACTTCAGAGGATATATATGAAGTAGGTTATTTCTGAAGTAGGTTATCTCTAACCCCAGGAAAGAGTAGAGATGGGAAAGCAAAAGAAAAGCAGGTAAAGTCTTTGAAAAGAGAGTTTTCTATGGGATTTCCTGAAAACTTTTATGGCATTCCACCTTGTAAGAATATTTTGGTAATTAAAGAGAATGCCTGATTCCTAGTCCCTAGCTGTATAACTATTCTACCTTCACTTGAGCCATGACAGAGAAGAGGATAGTGGTAAATCACCTTTCCCTATTCATTTCTTTAAATAAATCCTAAACTTGAAGTTACAATTATGATATACTTTTATCCATTAGTAAGCCATTCATTTACTCAACATATTTTCATTAGTATTTCCTAAGTGCAGACAATGTATTTGGAATGGCTACAACAAATATGAAAGAAACTGTTTCTGCCCTCAAGAAGTGAGAGCCAGAAAAACTAAAATAAAGATGAAAAATGCTATACTAAGATTAGGTGTAATGGAATTTCAGGGAAAGAAAACCTATTTAAGGAAGTCAAGGATGACATCACAGAGGAGAAAAATCTTAAGATGACACTTGTAGGTATTTGTCAGGCATATTGGGAGAAAAGAGTTCCAGGCAGTACAACAGGCACAAACAGAGGCAGAAACAAACATGAAACAGCATCTTATGATTGAGACTCAGTAACTAGAATATTTCAGAATTTCTGAAGTATAAATTGTCATAGGCAGTAAAGATAAGGATTACAAGAGGTAAAAATGGATCGGTAATTAGGGTCTTCTATGTCACACAAAGGAATTTTAAATTTTCTTTTGTAAATAATGGAAAGCTACTGAACAATGTTGAGAAGGGAAGTAATCTGATAAAACTTGCATCTTAGAAGATAGTATACACATTTAGATGGGTTTTCAAGGAAGGTTTATATAGACAAACAATAAAAAATTGTCAACCTAGGTCAATGGCTATGACTGCAGAAAGAAGGAGTATGAGACATGCTGAAGAACTTGATGATGACTGAAAATGTAGAACAAAGAAAAGAAGGCAATGACTAAGATTTTTCTCAGATTTTTTTGGCCTGGGCAACAGCAGGCAGATGTTGTCTCCTAGGTGCTATCCAGAGAGCAACTGAATATTCAGGTTAGGACAATACCAGACAGTAAGAACTCATAAAGAAAACTGAAAAAGTTTACAGAAAAATTGAAAATGTGAAATTACAGGGGGAAAAAAAGATAAGAAGTATAAGGAAGGAGGAGTCAACATTCTTATGTGACTCAGAGAGGTCAAGTTAGATAAGAACTAAAAACAATCCATTGTGCTTGTTAACCAGGAGGACAATGATGACATTTGTGAGAATAGTATCACAGAAATGTGGCAGTAGAAATAAGATTGCATTGGATTAGAGTGATAAAATGTGAGGAACAAATCTGGTATGTTCTAACTTTAAAAACTTGATTGTGAAAGAAAAGATAAACAGAAAGTCTGAGAAAGAAATTTATGACATGTTAAATCATAGTCTCTGATAATAAAAATTATTAATGCATTTAAAAGGTGGTAAAGTTAGTATGAAATATTGAAGTAGGGTAGATGATTTTCTGAACTATTGGTTATATTTAAATAAGATGTATGAATATATGAAATTCAGAAAAATTTTAATTATATATTTGATTATAATGTCAAAAAGCATATAATAAAATGATTGTACCTGATAGACGATGAAGTCCAATTGAGTTCTTGTATTTCGGTGAAAGTGGAATGTCCTTGTCGTTCTGCAATCATGTCAGAAGTTAGTCTGCCACCAAACAAATCTTTTGCATTCTCAGTCTCTGGTGGTTCCTATATGAAGACATTTAGAAAATAATGTCCTTACAGATGACTAAATCACATTAATTCTCTGGTTTCAGCTAAAATGGGGTAGACTCATTTCTACCTATTTCTCCTACTAAGTACAGCTAAAACCTCTACACATTATATATAAGACAAACATAAAAATACTGAAAGGTGTAGAGAAGAAAACAACCAGCTGGGGACCTTGGGACTTGAGGAATGATACCCTGGATTTTCTTTTTGCCTCATACATGCCAAAGTGGGTGCTGGAGAAGCCAGGAACTCAGAAATATCAACAAGAGAAAACAAGACAAAGTCCACAAAAAAGGCCTGCTTTCTCTAGTCAAAAGATCAGAAAAGAGAAAGCCTAGCAAAATAGAAAACTTTTAGACAATAACATGTCTACTCCAGCTAAACACCACATAATAAACTGTAGCCCCAACTCCATCCCCACCAGTAAAAGCAGAATGGGCTGCTTAGACTTTCACCTAAGCCTATCTGTAACAAGGCACTCCTCCATAATCAGCTTGGTGAGTTTGAGTCTGAACTTTGATCCCTTCCCAGCAGTAATGCACTCCCATACCCCGCCCCCCCCAACATTTTACTGAAGACCACATGGGAAGCCTGGATTCCCACTTCCACCTGGTAATAATGAGATATCTGTGGAGCATTAATGAGGCACCCCTGCCTCTCCTAGCCAGGATGAGTCAGTGAAGATCTATGGGGAACAAGATGGAAGAGCTCCTCCCTTCCATCTTGGCTGGAGTAAATCAATGGGGATAAGAATGAACTCCTTCCCAAGCCCCAAGTTAATGAAACATACACCTCTAGGTTGTCAATAGAGCCCAAGTGGAGGAACTTGGAATTCTACCTCCCACTTGACAGCAACAAAGTGGTGCCCCATCTTCTCAGTGGTGTAGCATCAAGGGAGGCTTGCTAAAATAGAAGATTTAAATAAGATACACACAATCTATAACACAATACCCCAAAGTTCTAGAATAAAATAGAAAAATCTATCATCATACTAAGAACCAAGAAAATCTCAATTTGAATATGAAAAGGCAATCAACAGGCACTGACTCTGAAATGGCACAGATATTATTAATTACCTGGCAAGGATTTTAAAGCAGCCATCACAAAAATGTTTCAACAAGCAATTACAAATATACTTGAAACAAATGTGCTCAATAGCAGAATGAAGAGAATAAAGAATCAGTGAACTTGAAGAAAGAACAATAGAAATTACCCAATATGAACAAAAGAGAGAAAATAGACTTTAAAAAAATGAGCCTCACTTTACCAAGATAGATCATCCTGGACTTGCAGGACCATAACAAAATATTTTATGTTAGTATCATTGGATTCATAGAAAGAGAGGAGAAATGGGGAGGGGGCGCTGAACAAGTTTTTGAAGAAATAATAGCTGAAAATCGCCCAAATTTGGCAAAAGACATAAACCTACACATTGAAGAAGCTGAGTAAACCCCAAACAGAAACCCCAGCCCCCAAATCCATGGGAAGATACATAATCATAATCAAAGTTTTGAAAACTAATGACAGAAAAATCATGAAAGCATTGAGAGAGGAATGAAATTCTACCCATGAGGAGGAAACAATTTGAATGACAGTAGCTTTCTAATCAGAAGCCATGGAAATCAGAGGATGTTACACAAAATTTGGTGAAAGCAAAATGTCAACCCAGAATCTTATATCCAGAGAAATTATCACTCAGAAACGAATGGGAACTCAAGATGGAGAAAATCTAAACAGATTGTCACCAGCAGACCTACCTTAAAAGATGGCTAAAGAAGTTCTTGAAGCAAGAAAAAAATAAACTTTTCTTCTCTTGAGTTTTCTAAATTATCTTAGTTTGGTTGAAGTAAAAAAAAGTATAATATTGTTTGATGTGGCTCTTAATATATATGGGGGAAATATTTAAGATAATTATAAACAGGGGAGGAGAAATAGAGTTAAAGGCAAGTAAGATTTCTACCCTTCACTCAAACTGGTAAAAATCTCAACACCAATAGACTATAATAAGTTATGTCTATATATTGTAATACCTAGAATAACCACTAAAAAATCTATATGAAGAGATACACTAAAAACTATAGATAAATAAAAATAGAATTCTAAAAATTGTCCAAGGTACCCATAGGAAGGCATGAAAAAGAAAACAGAAAAAAGGTAAACAGGAAACAAACATAAAATAAAAAAATAAAATGGCAAACTTAAGATCTAACATGTCAATAACTATATTAAATGTAAATGGTCTTCATTCGTCAATTAAAAGGTAGAAATGAGAAGTAGTTAAAAAACATGATCCAACTGTATGTTACCAACAAGAAACTCACTTCAAATACAGTGAAACATGCAAGTCAAAAGTAAAAGGATGACACAAGATTCCCACACAAACATTAATTAAAAGAAAGCAGGAATGGCTACATTAACCACAGATAAAGTAGACTTCAAAGAAAATCATCAGAGACAGAGAAAGACATCACATACTGATAAAAAGGTCAATCCACCAAGACGATGTAACAATCTGAAATGTGTATGCACCAAACAACAGAGATGCAAAATATGTGAGGCTACAGCCTCCAGTTATTATATCAAAGTAATCTAGGTGTTGCTGTCAATGTATTTTGCAAATATAATTAAAGCTCCTAATTTGTTGACTTCCAATTAGGAGATCATGGAAAATCTGGATGGGACTGATTCAAGGAACTGCAAGACCTTAAAAGCAGAGTTGAGGCTTCCTGAAAGAAAGAATTTTCCTTAAGAAATTTCACCTATGAACAGAAGCTTTGTTTCATGCCTTTGATTTCCAACCCACCCACAATCTTCCCTTCCTGATGGCCTGACCTATGGATTTGGGGCCTGCTTAGGGAGCCCCCACAATTATTAAGATACATACATATATATATATCTCATACTAGCTCTGCTTCTCTGCTTGAATCCCGAATAATATAATATCAAAATAAGTTTTAAAAACATTAACTCAGCTTTAAAAATACTGTAGCTTTTGCATTTTTCATACATTGGATTAGTGGCCTTCTATATTGAGAGTTGACAAACTTTTTCTGTACTTTTCCTGTAAAAAGTCAATATTTTAGGCTTTGTGGACAATACGTTCTCTGTTACAACTATTTAATTTTGCCATTGTAGTGTAAAAGCAGTCATAGACTATATATAAACAAAGAGGCATGAATGTGTTCCAGTAATATTTTATTTACAAAAACAGGTGGCAGGCCACATTTGGCCCAAGGGCCATAGTTTGCCAACCTATTTTAGTCAAATGGCTTGACCTTGGCTTAAATAAAACTGATGTCATTCTGTTTTTACTCAAACTCCCTTCTTTTTCTCTACTCCATTAAAACTTCATATCTGAATTGAGAGTATGTATTCTCAATGTAAAAAAATAAACTTTTAAAAATAGGAGTATGCAGGAAGAGGAGATAAAATGAAAACCTAACTACCCAGACCGCTCTTCGGCTCTTCATAGTCTCTGTCCTCCCTTGGTTTCTACTCCTACTCCAAAGAAGGCAATGTGATTATATGAGAGTTTGGACAGAGAATGAGTCTCAGCTGTGTATGATTTGCCATTGAAGAGTCATAGTCATGTAACTTCTCTGAAGTTCTCTGTGCTTATCCATAAAATAAAGGATTTAGGTTATGTCATTTATAAAGTCCATTTACATCTCAAACACTCTAGGATTATATTGTTCATTTACCTCCCTCTGTACCCACTTTTCATAGCTTCTTTTCCCATGTTCATAAATACAAGTATTAAATCCTCACTTAAATTTCTGTATTATCTCTACTCTCTTTCCTTAGACAATCATATGTCTGCTTTTGGTTTTAACTATCAACTCTCTTCAAATTACTTCTAAGTCTACACAAATGTAAAGTAAATTTTCATATCTAAATTTAGTCCTATAATTTCAACTGCCTGCTTGACATCACAAGTCAGATGATCTACTGTCATATAAAACTCCGTGTCCAATACTAATCATCTTATTCCTGAAAATTTCTTTTCTTCCTGTATTCATATTCTGTTATGATATCTTTTGTCAGTATAGACTCAAACCTTGTAGACATCTTTTACTCTTCCTTTTCCTTGTCTTTAAAATGCAATGCATTCCCATTACCTCTCATTTAAAGTCTAAATTCTTCAGTCTAGTCTTCATGTTCCATTATTAATTCATATGTTTATATTCTGCTTCATTTCACAAAGAACTTGTGACAGCTTACAGGAAACACACATCATCAAATAGTAAAATTCAAATCATACATAATGAAAATCAAGACCAGGAACAATATAAATTAGATTGATAAAAACTAGGGTTAGAGATGCCAGGACAGAGCCTAAGAACCTATAGGGTTTTTAATTTCATAAATTTGGCCCTGAGTTTTGAGGTAGTCACAATGAAAAGGAAAGTAATTAAACAATACTCTTTATCAGAGAGCAGAACATAACTCTTCCTCAGGGAAAATGTTTTTCTTACACTTATTTCTAAAAGTACTTTCTCATGTGGCCCTGCAAATGAGAGCACAAAGAAATAGGAAAGATAAAACCCTTAACATCTTTAGAGTATATGCAATACTAGATTCATAAGACTATTTTTAAAATATCCCTCAATGAATGCTAACAACTGTTAATAAATAAAACCCAGCATGCAAGATTCTAGGGAACTTGTATACATCGGAGTGAGAATGTTTGAATCTCCATTCTTGGGAGGGTCCTGAAAAAAGTAGTGCTAGGATTAGTAATCTTTTCAGAGTACCTCAGAGTACCAAATAATCATGAACTATCTTTCAGTTTTCTAGAAAATGTAATGAGTTTTATTGTCTTATGGGAGCTAGGCAACATTACACAGGGAAACCTTTTATTCTTTGTACATTTTTCATGTACTTACCCTGTTATGTGGAAATCAGGAGCCCTGTACGAACTTGCTTGTTATAAAATTCAAGTCTCCAAATGTTGCTTTCACATTGGATCCTAAGTTCTGTGTCTACTTTTCTTTACAGCTGACTACACTTGTTGGTTGGAATATATTTTTCTTAATTATTAACAACTAAATTTTTCCAGAAAATAGGAAGCTGTTTTTAGGTCCAAGAGGAGGGTAGGGCTCCAGAGCATACTTTTTCTATCCTGTTTCATAAAATTGTGGTCTTTTTAGGCACTAAATTCAGTGAGTTCAGCCATAAGCAGCATCTTCCTTCCCCTTCCACCTCAATTCAGACAATTAAGAATTGACCAGATGAGAAAAATTTAAAACCTGAATGTAATCTAAAATGAGCTTTGGAGACCTGGATTTTAATAGGCATAGTATGTTTGGGTATCATGCTAGTGATAAAGCAGTGTTCAAAATGATTATGGCATATGCATATGTGAATATGCAGCTTGAACTAAATGCTCTAAGTCATAAAACAACTTACAATTGAGATTCCATCCAAAGCTTTCAGTTCTGGAAGATGAAATATTACAAACAACCGGTAGTTTTCTTGATTCCATACAACAATGTTTCCATACATGTCTAGAATGACCAAGTTGCATAAACCCTAAGGTAATAAAAATTCATATTTTATATATGTATATATAAAGCACTCCATTAAGTTTTTATTTTTTTAAGAGGTTAACCATCCTTGAATTTTAATATTTGAATTGTTGATCATTTCACAGGATTTGAATGCTTTTGATTGTACTTTTAAGTGCAAAGGTTCTCCTTTTAGACCACTAAGGCATAATTTTGTACAATATTTCAATGGTCTATGTTATATGATCAGAATCCTTTTTAGGATACTGGTGCCAAATATATTATCTACCAGTGGTAAGGGTTTAGAGGTAACTTTGCTATGTTTAAAACAATATGCTTTGTTTATGGAATTGCAGCCTATTAAATGTTATGTATGTGTGTATATAGATATAACAGGAATAAAAGACACTGCCATTTGAAAAGATATAAAACTGAAGTGTTCTACCTTCTGAAGGGTAGCAGGATTCATCTTAAGGGAAAATGCGCTTTCTTATTAGACCCGACAGTTTGATATGCCTTTGTTGTGAACGAAGGGTGGTGAGTGGGTATGGAAGGGAGAAGTTAAGACAGGACTGAATAAAGCTACTGTGCATAATAATGTGAAATGGCTTATTTTGTTGCTGAAATTGTTGTTGATTAGGTTGCCTCTATAGCTCTAAAAGGATAGGGAGAAGGAAAGATAGGGAATGGACACAAGTTTTTAGTAGGAGATAAAGTTCTAGCAATATGGTATCAGCAAAAGGAAAGGCCAATGTAAGACTCACAGTGTTAGGAAATGGTCATTGAACTTTAGAAACAATGAAGTCACACATTACATTTGAGAGAAATTCCTATTCTGTGTAGTAGAAACCCTCTATTTTGTTCAAACCTTTAGTAAATTCTGTTACACGGAAGCCTTGAATTAGTGGTTTCTTTGGGAGAATTAAAGAAGGCAAATCTGAGCAAAGGTGACTTGAGTTTGGGCCACAGGTAAGAACAGTGAGAGATAATCAAGAATTGTACTGAGAACAGGAGAATGTTAAAGAAACCTACTCCCCAACTAGGTTGGGGACTACTTGGAAATATTGAAGAAAGCACCAGGTTAGGAGGCATGGGTTTGGGTTATTTTACTTGAGTATTTTTTAAAAAGTTACCCCATAAGGTTATCAGATTGGGGGCATTATGATTACACATACACATGTTTGTATATATACATAAATTGAATGCAAATGTGTTTTAATAAACCTTATTATTCTTAATTTTCTTGTTATATTTTTCTATATTTTCCAAATTCTGTACAGTGAACATGCATTACTTTCATAGTATAAAGAAACAATAAATATTTTTTTAAAAAACAGAAATTACTACCCCAGATGGTCACCTTTAAATTGTAGATCTCCTGATTGACAGCAACATAGTTATTGCTTATGTATAATTCGACTAGAGTAACAGTTTTTTGTAAACCACTCAATGATGTGATTCTGTTGTTCTCAAGAGAAAGGAAGTGAAGATGAAGCATGTTATCAAAAGTATGCTTTTCCAAACCAGTGAGAAGATTATTATTTATGCTGAGCCGGGTTAATTTAGTCAGCTTGGAAATACCTAGAAAAATAAACAAATCCAAGAAAAGATTCAGATAGCACTGAAAGGTTAATTAAAAAAAATAACTGGGTGGTAATTTTATTGTTAATTTAAATGGCTAAGTTCAAGTAGCTTCGAGAATGCTAAAATATTTAACCATCATCATTTTTTATTTTGTTTCAGAAGGACATAATCTTGTACATAAAGTCCCATCTCATACATTAAATTCTAATTTTGGATTTCTAAGTAGATTCATTCTTCTTAGGTCAAGGAAAGTCATTATGTAGAAAATACTGAATTCCTCTTTCACATAACCTTTAAATGATATAATTAATTAGGATTTTTACCATCATGACAACTCAATGCTCTCCAAACTCAAAATAACCACCAGCTCTCATTTTAAAACATTAAGGGTAAGGAACTAGAGTACAAATCTGGAAAGTAGTACTCATTATGGTATCATTTATATTAAAAAGAACCACTTAGACTACTTCTACCTTTGTATGCTTAGATGTACCCTAAGACAGAAGTTTAGAAAATGAGATCTCTTACCACAATCTACCTCCTATGTATATTATGTACTGTAGGTACTTTATAACTAACTGTAGGCAGGATAGTACAGGTAAAAGATAAGAACTTTAGAATCATAGCTGGTTTTAAATGTATCACTACTAGATTTGGGGCCACAGGTAAATTATGTAATCTCTGCACCTCAGTTTCCTCATCCATAAAGTGTACATACTGAAATCTATTTCCAAGGGGCTATGAAATTAAATGGAATAATGTTTAAAAAGCATCAGTTATAGCTTTTGGCAAATAATTGTTCCTTCATAAATTTTATCTGTGATCCCCTTTCACAGCAGCCTCTATTGGAACTATATAAGCTGAAAGTGAAACAATCTAGGGCAAACTAGGATAAAAACCATCAAAGCAAAAATCATTAAATGGATATTAAAGTTATCCATGTCTGGAGAAAAATAAGAGAAATTTCTGTTAAATTTTAGAGGAGTAGCTATCTTAAGTAGTAAGTATAAGCAAAATACAGATTGGAGGGTTTCTTCCCTTTAATAGATTTTATAGAGGGAAATGAAAGGGAAATAGGGTTCTCAATTGTATATACAAAGCAAAACTAACTTCCAACTGTATGGGAACAAAAGACTGGTAATGATTTTAGACACAGATGCCTGAGCTGACCTCAGGTTTACTCAACTGAAATCAACAGAGGAGAGGCATGTGAATCTGTATCTCAAGTGATTTTTATGACCAAAAAAATTTTAGAAACATATTACTAGTAGCCATTAAAATAAATATAATAAAATTGCTATACATGCTGTTTTTTAAGATATTTAATACTTGATTTTATATATAATTCTTTAAATCAAATTTTCTATTTTATGAAAAATATAGTGAACACACATGCTAAAAATAATCCAATTCAAAAGTGAATAAAGTATAAATTATCTTTTTTCCAGCCATGATTTATAATTCTTACCTTCCTTCCTTGACAAGGACAATATGTTACCAAAATGCACATACAGAAATATTCTTTGCTCAGATAACTATGTATGTTTGTGGGGTGTTTTTTATTCTCTCTGGCCCAGAAAGATATGTTTAATACTGAATTTTAAACAGTCAAATAAAACATATTATATTGGTCTCAATATTGAGACATTACTAAAGCTGCTTAATTATACTTTTATTTAGATTCATACAAAAGGTTATATGTATTATATTTAATTTTTAACCTCTAATGAATATAATTTTCATTTTTGTTAAAATCTTCAAATTTCCAAATATGACCTTAATTATATATTTCGAAAAATTAAGTGGTCTCCTTTATCTTTTTCAAAAGCATACTTCATTCATTCATTTATTCAACTTTATAGACATTAATGACTCCCCAGTTTGTATGTGCTAGGTTTGGTAACAGACTGTAAACTGGCACAGAGAAGGAGACAGAAGGCAGAGGAGGTGAAAGTCAGCTTGCTGGGGTTGATTACACATAGCAGTCAGTCACAAATCCTACTCATAGGTATTTATTTATTTTTATTTTTTATTTATTTTTTAATTTGACAGATAACATTATATGTATTTATCTTACATAACATGATGTTTTGAAGTATATACATTATGAAATGGCTAAATCTAGCTAATTAATAACTGCATTACCTCACATAGGTATTTAGAATACTGTGCCATAAACCTTCTTGGAACTCCTCTGGAAATCTTCCTCTTCAAAAACTCTGTCCTCAGTGCTATTAATTTTTCGCTTTGGTGTTTGGACATTCATATTTTGAGACCTCAAAGTTCTCAAGTTCCTTACCTTCTATCTTTGAGATGCAGTTTCCATCTAATGTGAGTTCTTCCAAATTAACACAAAATTCCAAGCCTTCCATTTTAGTGAGGTTATTATTGCTGAATGATGCCCATTTCAAATTTTCCAATTTTTCTAAATTTGTGATTTCAAAGAGATGTTGTCCATCGAAATTTAAGGCAGTTATCTGTAGAATAATTCACACTGCATGCTACTTCTGTATCTTATAAGTAAATTCAATCAATGTTATAAGATTTAAAAAAGGCTAATGAAGTAATTCAAATGTGAGAAGTAAACATCAAAAGAATTCCTTCAGAGACTACAGATATTTTGAAGCTCTTAGTTTATAAAAAAGTAAAATTTGACAAGACTATAACTCCAAGAAGGACTTGTATGATATTATTGACACTGTGATATGCCAGTCAGAGTCCCACTACAGTGAAGTACTTATCCCAGCTGCTGGGAGTGCTGTTGGCAGAAAGCCTTCAGCTGTCAGCCTCTTCTGCTGAGAGAGTTGCAGAGAGCTGCCTCACCCAAGGTCACACGCCTTCCCTGGTTGGCCCACAGTCAATGACAGAGAGGTATAAAGGCCTGACCATCTCTGCCCAATTTGAGACAAATCTAAAGGGCCATTCTAATTCTAGAATTTGCCATGGGGTCAGCCAAGGCTGTCATTAGGCCTTCACTGCAGCTCCATATCTATATATATCCCATAATAAAAATAATGCCATTAATAGCTTCCATTTTCAAGGGTCAGCTTCACTTAGCCCCAGTTTCTGTCTTTGGCAAGAGATATAAAGGCACCTAATGCAGCAAGAAGCTGCTGGTACTCTATAACCTTTTCCCTTATCCTTGGCTGAATTCTGTCCAGTTCCCCTATTCTCTTTCCAGTATTCCTGATCCCCTGCCACTCAAACTTGGGCTTGCTCTCTGGCTCTTAGCCTTTAAAGTTTGCTTGCCCATTTTGACATGTTATCAGAATCTACCCTTCAGTTTTTAGTATTCCTTTATCCTAAATCTCCAATTTTATGGTTTACAACAGTCAAGGCCTAGCCTCTGTACCATGACAACTCACGACTTGATCTCCCTATTTTCATTTTTTGGAATGTGGTAAACTTATTAATTTTTCCTAATAATAACATTAATGTTTTTAATTTTTTCCCAACTCGATTGAGGTATAATTGACAATTTGCAATTGTATATATTTAAGGTATACAACTTGATTTGATGTAGGCATATATTATGAATTAAATACTGCATGATCTCTATATATGATATCTCAATAGTCAAACCCATAGAAACAGAGAATAGAATGGTGGTTACCAGGGACTAGGAGCAAGGAGAGATGGGGAGAGATTAGTCAAGAAGTACAAAGTTTCAGTTATGCAAGATGAGTAAGTTCTGGAAATCTAATGTACAACACTATGACAATACTGCATTGTATATTTGAAATTTGCTAAGAGGGTAGATCTATAAGTATTCCCTCCCTATTTTAATTCATCTCTTCCAGTTTTCTGCTCCTTACCTATCTGTCTTCTTGACGATACACAAACCAACACTGACTAAAATATCATTTTTTTTCAGCATATTATGGGGGTACAAATTTTAAGGTTGCCCTTGTCCCTCCTCCTCCCACAAGTCTGAGCTTCAACTGTAAATTAAATGTTTATCTTAGATTTAATAAAATTGGCCTTTACCTTCAAGTACCAGTTTCCACTCAGATGTAGATGTGGTCCTAACTTTGAAATCTGTGTCAGAATTTTGGCAGAAGGCCATATACTAAGTATCCGTGGTCTCTCCTCTTTAGTACTACAATGCCGTAAGAGAGATAACTAATGAAACAAACAGAAAAATGGGTGAATAAAGGAAATAGCATACAGAGGTTATTTACATATAGTTAAAAGTATTGTTTCCTAGGGAAGATGAGTGGTCCATTCAATAATTTTAAAATATAATATTTCCTTTGCCTTAAAATGTTTTCAATATATAGATATATTTTATTTACTCTTTTATTGTTTTAGCAAATATTGAAACATTACAAGATAACATTTGTAAACTGAAAGGATTACTATAACATGAACACCCACATAATCTACCCATGAAATCCCAAGTTCCCTTGGGCCCCATCCTAAGCCTTTTCCTCTCTTTCCCCATAGAAGTGATAACTACTTCAATTTTTTTTTGTCTACCATTCACTTGCTTTCTTTATAGTCCTATGGTTATGTCCATAAAAATATATTAGTCATGCACTCATTTGAACTTTATGTAAATTGAATGTTTATATGTATTCTTCTATGACTTGCTTTTTTTGCTCAATGTCATATTCATGAGATTCATCTATGCTTCTGTATGTAGCTATAGTTCATTCATATGTCACTGCTATATAGTATTCCCCTAATAACTTTGTCAATGAACTCCCCTAATAACCTGTCAATGAACATTGGGGTTGATTCAGTTTTTGCTGTTGTAAACACTGCTGTCATGAATATTCCTGTGCATGTTTCATGGTATATAAATGCAAGAGTTTCTTTAGATTATATGCCCCTAGGTAAAATTGTTGGGTTGTATTTATATGTATAGCAAGTTTGTGTATATATATAACTTTACTTTATAACTTTGCTACAATTTGGCTTTACAATTTTTGCCAATCTATAAAATTGGCAATAATTGGTAGGTGATTGTGGTTTTAATGTTCATTTTCTTGAATACTAATGTGGTAAAGCATCTTTTCCTAGGTTAATTGGCTGTCCCAATTTCCTCTTCAGTGAAGTGTCTGTTTAGATCATTTGCTCATTTTTCTGTTCAGTTGCTTATCTTTTTCCTTATACATTCTGGGTATATAAAGAATATCTTTTGTCAGTTGCATTGCAAATTTCTTTTCCCAGTATGTAGCTTGTCTTTTCACTTTCTTTGAGGAAAAGATATGTTAATTTTAATGTAGACAAATCCAATCTTTTATGGTTTATGCTCTTTGTTTCTTGCCTAATAAATGCTCCAATAACTCAAGATCATAATGATAATCTCTTATGTTTCCTTCAAAAACATTTTTGGTTTTGCTTTTTACAGTGAAGTCCTTAATGTACTTGTCCCAGTGCCTTTTATTGAATAGCCTCCCTGTAGTGCAAAGGCAGCTCTGTTATTTATCAAGTTTCCACAGATGAATAGGTCTATATTAGGTATTTTATTCTGTTCAACTGGTCTATTTGACTAACTTTGTGCCAAACCACATTGTCTTAAAGGAGTTCAGTAGGCTCTGATTTCTAACAGGGTAAATTCCCAACTCTTCTTCAGGGGTGTTAATTATATTTTTATCAATAAAAAAGTTTCTTTCTATCATTTGAATAGATCTAAAATTAAACATTGCATCATTTAAGGAATTAATCTTTAAATACTCCACAAAGAGTAAATAGCTAGATAACTGGAGATATTTAGGATGTTGACGCTACTTTGGCTAAAGTATAGCATTCTTAATCTGGATAATAAAGGTATTTCCCCTCCTCCCTTGTTGTAAGTTTTGTTTTATTCAGCCAGACACATATAATGTCAATACTAAGTAGATAATTCACCAAATGCTTTCTCAAGGCCTGTAAGCTTACCTTATCCTCAGAAAGTTGCTTATTTTCATGTAGGCTCTAGAAAGGACTCTGGTGAGTTCAGGTGACCAGGAAAAAAACCAGTTACCCTAGAATTATTTTGGGGGGTAGTGTTCAGGGATGAATCAAGAGAATCCATACAACCAGCTGGTACTTAAATGGGGTACATTTAAACAGAAAAAAAAATCAAGTGATATGATTGTTATATATTAATTTTTATTAACATGCTAAGAAGGAACATAAAATCTTAATGACAGAAAAGGCATATGGGAAATATTATTTGTATGTTTCAAATAGCACAAGAAATTTTAAACAATAAAATCCAACCTGAGTTATCCTTGTTCCAGTAATAAATTTCATAGCTTCTGTCGCTTCTTCTTCAGAAATGAGAACTCCATCTAAATGTGTAAGAGTCTTTAATCTGCCAATAACACTTAGCCTCAATGTGGCTGGCTTGGGAAAAATAGCGAAAAGTTAATTTTCACAAAATATTATATATGTTATGGCATGGAAATGAGTGCTTTTTCATTCTTTTCCATAATTAAAAATTATGAATCTCCTTATTTATTATACATGTATCTAAAAATAAAGGCTTAACTTAATTCTTTACATAATAGTTGAAATTAAGTTATATTTAAGAATTAATATTTTGTTTGAAAGTAGAAGATCCTACTCTTATGAAGGGGGGAAATCCCATAAGCTGTTGAAAAGTAACTGTGGTGAAAGTGTTAAAAGAACAACTGCAGTGACTCTTGTTTATCTAGATCAGCAGTAAGCTAGCAATCTGCATGTGTGATTCAATATGGATCTTTAGCGCTTGACAATCCAATTTGGCAACAGGAAGATAGTTGTACTGTGATTATCCAGGAAGTCTGCTTTGGCAAAAGAAAAATATTCTTCAATTTTGCTGAGCAAAACAGAAGAAATACAACAATATAAACTTAGTAATCTGGCCAACTTAATAGAACCAAGCATGCTTTAGTTTCTTTCCAAAATGTTGCACACTGCCTTATATATATGTTTTAAAAAGCAGAGAAAGGAAGATTCTTGAAGTTATACACTTGGGCTTATTTTAAATACCTGAAGATATGCTTTTGTATAGTCCTTGAATGGAAATTACTTAGCATTAATCTATGTATTTTGTGATGAGAAAAAATGTTCAATCAACTTTCTTTTTACAGCAAAAGACTATATAAGTTTATGAGGGGAGGTGGTTTCTGGACTTAGAGAACAAATAATACAAACAATGCATGTTTTTCAACCACAGATTGTATATTAAATATCATAAATCAAATTATGTTTCTTCCTTAATAGTATGCTTCTCTCACTATATCATATTATCATGAGTTCCTATTTCTTATTACAGTATGGTTCTGGCACACTGAGCTATATAACTCTCTGGAGGTTTACAATCAGCAATGACATCAATGACTCAAAGAAATAATGTTCTCAAACTTTTAGGGGTTACAAAAAATTCGAGATGAAAGTATAGCCTTTTCTTATAATAACATTTGATTTATTTGATCACTACACTAAATTTAATATATGAAAGATTTAAAGTCTAGAAAAGCAAAATTAGTTTGCCTATATGTAGCTATTACTGAATAGTAAAGTAGTGAGAAATGGCTTTGAAATTAAAGTGCTTTTTTATAAACATGTCTGTCACATACCTTTTGCCATGGATTATGTTGAATATCAAGAGTGAGAAGGTTTGCTGTATGTTTGCATAACATATTTATTTCATCACCAGATTTTTTCAGTTGATTCCAGCTCAAGTCTAAGTGCTTTAGTTTCATCAGACCTCTAAATCCCTCAAGGGTTATCACATGGTTATGGCTTGCATCCAAGTATTCAAGGTTATACTGCAACACATACAAATAGAAGTGATGCTAAGAAAATCATGATTTATATTTATAAAGTTCTTTTCTCTATCATTCTCTAAGGACTTCATACACTTTATGTATCCTCACAGAAAACCTAAACAGTCATTGTATTACAATAATGATATCAACATATGTATTTAGCTAAAGAGCTACAGGTATTTCATTTTAGTAATTCTCTCTTAATTCACACACTTTACCCTTGTAACATGCAGTGGCAGAGTTTGTTTTCATAGGAGAGAGGGCACAAAGAAATTGATAAGATAACTTATGCCCAACAAACAAAATGCACTTCTTAATATATAGGCTTCTAGTTTATACTATTGAACCCATAGCCTAATTAAAAAGCATTCATCTTCAGAGGTAGGAACCAAATCTATTAATTCAATACTATAATTTTCTTTTTCAAAAGTGCAAACTTTTTAATAATATGTTTTAAATCATAAGAGTAACACATGTTCCCTGTTAGAAATTGGAAACATAGTAAATAATTGAAAAGAAAAAATAGAAAGAATATATAATTCTATTGCTTAGAAAGAACTACCGAAAACATTGTTTTTTATTATATGCACATATATTTTTTCTTATATAAAACAGATATGTAGAATTTTGTATTCTTTTAACATTCTCTCACATTAGTAAATATTCTATGAAATAATTTTTCAAAACTATGTAATATTCTACTATGTAAATTATTATAATTGTTTTAAACATTTTACCATGAACTTTTATGTTTCTAATTGTTGGCAACAAAACAACAAACATCCATGAGCATTATATTTTAACTACAACTCTGAAAATTTTTTTAAGAACAGGTTTTTTGTTTTTTTTTTTGAGACAGAGTCTCGCTTTGTTGCACAGGCTAGACTCAAACTCCTGGGCTCAAGCAATCCTTCTGCCTCAGCCTCCCAAGTAGCTGGGACTACAGGCATGCGCCACCACGCCCGGCTAATTTTATATATATATATTAGTTGGCCAATTAATTTCTTTCTATTTATAGTAGAGACGGGGTCTTGCTCAGGCTGGTTTCGAACTCCTGACCTCGAGCAATCCGCCCGCCTCGGCCTCCCAGAGTGCTAGGATTACAGGCTTGAGCCACCGCACCCGGCCTTAAGAACAGGTTTTTAAAAATAGGATTACTGGTTCTAAGGATTTGGTATTACTAAGACTCTTGATAAATACTGACAAACAGAGTTCAAGGAAGTTTGTACCAAAATTTTCTTCTAAGAGTAGAATATGGAAATGCCCATTTCCTCAAATACTCACTGATCCACCTGCCTTATTTTAATTTACATTATTTATTACCAGTGAAGTTGAATATCTTTCCATGTGTTTATATTAACCATTTTTAAATTTCTTTTTTTGTTTATTGCTTTTCTTGCCTTTGGCTATTTATTCAGAACTTCATTTTATTTGTTTATAAGAAATCTCTAAGACTTTAATTTGTTACATATACTTTTTACATATAAAAGTTGCTTTTAAATTAATTTCACTTAAAAATGAACAGCAAAAACATACTGAGGTCAAATCCAAAACAAACCTATGAGAGAGAGGATAAGGAGGGAGAGAGAGATGGAGAGAGAGAGAGAGAAAGGAAAGGAGAGACTAATATTGCTGCCAGCAATAAAAGTACACCAGAAAGGTAAGCTCAAGAAGCAGATCATGGCTATTAACTTACTATTTCAAAACAAGCAAAAAGATGTTAGTTACAATACAAAACATAAAATAACAACAAAAATCTGGATTAGAAAAACTTAGAATTGAGGTGAAAGAAACCAGAAAAAAAATTGAAATAAAGTAATAAAATAATATCAGAAATGAAGACTTAGTCAAACACAAAAATGAATAAAGACAACAGATAATGCTTTAAGAGAAATACAAGGTGAAAAGACAAAAAAAAATTAATGAATAAATGAAGAGAAAAAAGGACTCAAGAGAAAGTAACAAATATTGAAGATAGATGAAGATTCCACATATGGATAATGAGAGTCCCTGAAGAAGAAAACAAAAGCAGGGAAACAGAAAAATTGCTAAAAACTTCCAGTTCAAAACAACTTTCCTGAAAGAAAAAATTATTTTAGACTATATATTAGAAGATTATATTGTGAATCTGAAATATCAACCCAGAACAACCAATGCCAAGATAAATTCTAGTAAAATTATTATACTTTAAAGAAAATTTAAAAAGTTCTTTGGCCATCCAGAAGAAAAAAAGCTTGTGACTTGTAAGAGGTAAAAAACATCATACATTCTCATCAGACTTTTCTACAGTAACACTTTGTGACAGAACAAAATGGAATAACATTTAAGATGTCCCTAAAAAGAAACTGTGAGCCAAGAATTTTATAATCTATCTAGCAAAGCTGTCTTTCAAGTATTAATATAAAGGACATAGTTAAACTGTTACATGCAGTAACTGAAGAGATATTGTTCCCATAAGCTGATCTTGATGATCTATAATAGAACATATTTCAGACAGTCAAAATGTTTATTGATTGCATAAATGTTTATTGATTGGATATGATAAGGACTGGTGATAAGAATTAAATATACAGCTACCAATAAACTAAAAGAGAGAGTGTATAGAGTATAAGGCAACATGCTCTAACAATGTAGATATGCTGTAATTATTTTAATTATTTTTTTAAATGGGGAAGAATAGGAAGAACATACACAAAATTTTTAGAAAATCTTTCCAGTAAATAATATTGGTGAGAGTATAAGAATTGTCATTCTGAGGCTGTTGTGTGTATAATGGGGGATAAAACAAATGAGTAGTTATTAAATATTCTAGTTTTATCATCTCATATCCTTGAGAATCAGGATTCTTGTATGAGAAAAATGATATAGATGTATATAACAGAGATTAAAGGTTTTGTAGTCTTAAATCTGAATTGGAAGTATCAATATAAAGTCACAAAGTTATTTTTAACTATGCTTACACATACACATATATTTTTTCACATCCTCCCTTAACAAGTTCTGTCAGGTGAAAATACCTACAAATAATGACCAATGCTGATGGTGTTTCTAAAATACCACTTTTCTCTAAAAGAAACCAGGGCTCTGTGAAGAAATGGCTTATCCCATGTCTACAACAGAAAATATATAAGATGTATATGGAACATCTTGTCATACCAGATGTCAAAGAAGCTATCAAAGACCATTAGAGTCCTGGCAAAAGGAGCTAACTTTAAAATGTTCTCACTGGCTAAGGATGAAACAATTTGAGTTTCAACCATGATAAGTTCAATGGACTGAATCTAATCAAACATGTGTTAAGTCCCTGCACTCAAAATGATATTAAAACAAAAAAGAATTGCTTACCTTTGGGAAATTATAGGGAACCAACTCATTATCTTGAAAACTGGTAAATAAAGGTAAGTAATCAAGCATCTATTCTGTACTATCTATGTGAATGCTACCACTGGGTAATGCTACCACAGGTAATGAAATAAGGAGAAAAGTCTTTTGGTAAAAGTATTCCAACTAATACATGAAAAAAGTGATAGAATAAGAATGTAACCATTTTTGTAATCCCCAATGAATTAAAAGATATGGGCATTAAGTAATAATGGTTTCTGGCATCATGAAAGTGAGACAACCAGATATTATGTGTTTCCTACAGTCTTTTCAAACATTAGTCTTGCCAGAAGAATAGAACCTGGGTCTGATCCAATCTCTGGATCCGCTTGCCAATTTGCAGGAAATATGGAGGATGAAAGGCCAGTAGGGTTGTATCTTAAGTAAGCAAGTCAGCAGGGTCCAGACTGAGGAAAACTCTTTAGGTCAAAGGGCCCAAATATTTCTAGAGATAAACTATGGGAAATGGAAGGGAAATCTATAAATTAAAAGAAACTTAAAAGACACAGTACAAAGGTATTAACAGTGATCTCTGAGGGGCGAGAATATGTTTTGTTGTTGTTGGCTTACATTTTCTACTTTTATATAATGCATGTTAACTTCTTCTGTAATAGTAAGCTGCCATAAATAAAATAACTAGTTGCCAACAAGAACAAAATATAGTACATTTTTCAAAATGGCAAAACGAAACTATTGTGTTAGGGATGTACATTTGGCAGGGAGAACTATCAGGAAAATATGCGGGGAAAGATTACTATGGAGGTCAGGATAATTTCTTGTGGGAAGAAGGGATGGGGCACATAGAAGGGGATTTTGTCCTAGGTGACAAAGTTCTATTTCTTGACCTGGATGCTGGTTATAAGCATGTTCACCTTACAACTACGTACTGAGTCATACAATTGTAGTATGTGGTTTTCTGTATCTGTGTTTTATCTTACAATAAAATGAAAAATATACATTTGTGTATATCCATGTAGAGTATCTCCTCTCTCTGGCCACCTTTAACATCCTTATAGTCATTTTTAGAGACATAAGCCAGACGCCTGATGTTCGAGAGGTCTATATCTAGCCACATTTGCTAATTCTAAAATTTGAACTACCACTTGAGCATAAAATTTATCCAGTTCCCTTATCTGTAAAATGACCATGATAATATTCCTCCAACAAGTAGGCTATGAGGCTGTGATTATGAAAGTAATTTTTGTATTAAAAGAGATCAGCAAAGCCATATTGAAAAATAAATGCTGGGAAGCTGGCTAAGTACACTCACTATCTAAGACTTAGAGTTTATTCTTCCAATTTGTGCTTTAGCAAAATTATAATGACTATGATAACCTCTGGACCTGCTACTAAATTATTAGAAAAAATTAAATAAAAATGCCAATAATCTACACACAGTCCTGCACCTCTTTTAAACTATGGTTTTTTTCCTCAGCTGCATACTGAACCTAGACTATCAGGGATTCTGTTGATTTAAAAGGGCTTAGACCTACCAAAAGAAACAAGGGAGAGGATTTAACAATAAAACCTAAGTAAAAGAAATAGCTCCCAGCACAATGGTAGAAGAAGCAATGCAAAGGCTTTGATGTGGTTGCAGGGAGATAGAGGAGAGAATGAACAAGAGCTGAGAATGATGATGTATTTTAAAAAGGCATGTGACTGACCTGGGATCCATGGAAACAGGGGATGCTGGGTTGAATTTCTGGAACCACATATGTAATTATTTTTGTTATATGATATACAATGAAGAAAACAAAAGTCAGACAAGATCCTTGCCTATGTGTACATCTGCATTACTATATTATCCTATGATATATCATAAAATGAACACAAGTCAAACAAGATCTATGCATGTGCAATTCAGGTAGAGAGGACAAGACAAAGAGAAAGAGAAATAACAACCTGGACAATGAGCAGATGGGAAGTTTGGCAGTGTTAAATGTAAAGTGGTGAACTAGAAGGTAAAGAAATAGGGACTCACAAGAAAGAGAAAAAGAAGAGTGGGAAAACAAGAGCAGAAGAAAATGGAAATGACACCAAAGGACATTTTAAAAACAAATTTGAGAAATTATTTTAATATATTTAAAGTGGCTAGAAATCAGATATGACCAGAGGTATATATTTGGTCTGCAAACAGAAGCTAAATCTAAGACCTGTTTTAGAGAAAGTAACATAATTAGGCATATATGTGTCTTATTCCTGATTTGGAATGTATAATCTTGCATATGGTATATATGAAGTCATAATTACAAAAATAGTTTATCCATTAATTATTTTATTTTACTTAAATATTTTCAAAAAGATAGTTCTTTCAAATATTTATTCTAATTTATCATTTGCTCTTTATCTTTGATATTTTTTGCTACACCAAAGTTTTTTAAAATATTAAATTGACAGATGAAGTTTGAATATATTCAAGGTATACAACATGATGATCTGATATATGTATACATTTGTAATGATTACCACAATCTAATTAATTAACATATCCATCACCACCCCTGCTGAACATTAGATACCCAGGGCTTGTTCATTTTATAATTGAAAGTTTGTACCCTTTGAGCAACATCTCCCCATTTCTGCTACCCGCTAGGCCCTTACAACCACCATTTATATGAGTTAAACTTTTTCAGATTTGAAAAGGAGAGTTCTTACCAAGTGGTATACATCATCTAAACAAGTAAATTCATTAAAGCTAATATTCAGTTTCCGAAGTCCTGTTAACTTGGCAAGATCTCTCAATTTACTCAAGCTGTTCCCATGTAGATTCAGACTCTGAAGCAAAAGAACATATAAATCAATAAGACAGATTACATTATACATCATACTGAAATGTGGATATCTAAAATGTTTAGAACAATGACTTCAGCCAATACAATATAAAATGAGAAAACAGTTCTTTTATACATTAAGAGAGTACCAGTAAGAAAATATCTACTATGTTAAACGGTAAAAGACAGTTTATAATAGTATTAATATCACTGAACCTTGTTATTGATTAATATGATTTCCTACTTGGTCTAAGTTTATCAGCGACTGGCATTAAATTCTTTTTAGAAAATAGTCTAATATATGTGTTAAGATGTTTATTAGGGAAGATCTATTTCTTAGGCTAATCAGTGAATAATATAGGCCCTGAAAATTTTGGGTGTCAGATACAGTACCTGACAGGAGAGAGATGACAAGGATATGCCAACTGCAGGAAACTGCATGAGGGCACTGGTCCAAGGAAGAAAGGCTGACTATGTTGAAGTAAGAGGACAGAAAGGTGAAGAAGGAGGTGGGAGAGTATCTAAGACAGTGCCTATATCACAATTTGGCCCAGACTTCCCCTATCCATTTCACCCTGGGTTATATAGAAAAGAAATATTATCACATATTTATATTTAGGGAAGATACTGATGTCTACATGTTTTTCTGTCTTTAAATTACAATGTTGTGGATGGTATTAAGTGAAGACTATATTTATGTACAGCTTACAAAATAAACAATGGCACAAGAAAATGTATTAATATAACTGACAACAATATTTACAACAAATGGGTATTATCATGATAAAATCAAGTATCTATCTCCCAGCCCTCTTTGCTCACCACCACCACCCTATACTTTATACTGTGGACATAACTAACTTCCTGGAAGGGAGAAACAAAGTTCTAATAGCTGTCAAAATAGCTGAAATTTTTAAGAAGGGCCAATTTATGCAGACTAGTTACTTTACAAGTCACATATGAGTATCATCTATGATAGATTCTATAGATACCTTACACTTACGTCTACAACTGAATTCATTATCTTCCCTATATGTCTGATTAAGTGTTTCACTATCTATCTAACATACTGTTGATAACCCCTTTCCTCTTTTTTCCCCATTTACATTTGATTATAGAAATGTGTCTCCAATTATTACCATTAACCACACCATTACATCACCACTCCTGGTGCCTTAGTACAGACCATTATTTCTCCTTTGGACTACTGCAATAGTTTTATGCTAGATTTCTATACCACCAGTCTGACTTCAGTTAAATCCATCCACATGCTGCCCAAGTTAGGGTTTTTAAAAACAGAAAGCCTGTTCCTTAAAGAATCTAAACTTTTAATCTGGCTTCCAAAATGTATTCTCATTTGGATATAACTTTCTACTCTTCCTCAGCTTTGTATCTCTTCCTTGAACTCCAACCTACACCTCTGCTTCCTACTGTCATAATCCTATATCCTAGTCACTGAATTTCTCAGTGTTGCCTGAAGACACCAGGATCTTTCAAAACCATGTGCCTACACATGGAGTATTATCTTTGTCTAGAAAATTAAACAACTAAATTTCTCATATCCTTTAAAAAATTCACTCAAAACTCATCTCTTTCTATACAGCTCTCTCAACAATTCTGAGCTTCCTACATTTGTTTACGTATCTATCTCCTCCACTAAACTGATGTTCTTGGGGCAGGGAAAATAATTTATTCCTTTGGAATCCCCAATACATAACTCATTGCCTAAGACACAGAAAATTTTCAGCAAATTCTAGGTGAATAAATCAATGTTAAATCCAGACATACAACTGACAACTCTAATTTTAAGTATCTAATTATGCTATAAGAGAATATGAAATTATATGTTACATAATCTGGGGAGGGTTATTTCTATTTTATTTTCTATATATATATTTATTTTTATGGATTTTCTCATAAAACCCAATTTAGTGTGGAACACTGAAAAGAAAATAAGAGGAATATACCTTAAAATTCTCACAGTAATGACACGAAGGAGTGGACTATAATATATATAATATATATAATAATATCTAGTAATCTTACTAGACACCCTAGAAAGTTTGCTAGTTTTAAAGTAGCATAGGCAAATTAAAGGTAAAATTCCTCTTTATTTATATGTCAGGGGTATTGATCCAACTAATGCCAAGTCAGGTAGGGGTCACAGGAAGGCCACGGTATTGTGCAGTCTTATTCTCTTCCTCTCTGTTTTTTGTTTTGCACACCAAAATAATCAAAAGACCTGCTTTCTGGTGCTGGTTTTTTACTTTTATTTAATCTCTTTAAACCTACAAGAATACATATTGCAGAAGCTCAATCCAATAAGAACACATTTTTAAAAACATTTCATTACTAAAGTTTTATAAAAAATGTATTACTTAAATATTAAATCTCAACATTATAGTAAAAAAATAATAATTTTTCAATACGGTCAGCCAGAAGATTGCTCTGTAATCACTATACTGAACATTAATGGAAACAGGACAGGGCCTCTGTTGCAAAGCCCAAGGGGCACCCTACCCCTATATTCACCCTATTTTTTTTTTGACACAGAATCTCACTCTGTTGCCCGGGCCAGAGTGCCGAGGCATCAGCCTAGCTCACAGCAACCTCAAACTCCTAGGCTCAAGTGATCCTTCTGTCGTAGCCTCCCGAGTAGCTAGGACTACCGGCATGCACCACCATGCCTGGCTAATTTTTTTCTATATATTTTTAGTTGGCCAATTAATTCCTTTCTATTTTTAGTAGGGACAGGGTCTCACTCTTGCTCTGGCTGGTTTCAAACTCCTGACCTTGAGTGATCTGCCCACCTCAGCCTCCCAGAGTGCTAGGATTACAGGCGTGAGTCACCACACTCGGCCTCTATTCACCTTACATTGAGTTCTATTCAGTTATACAATGAATGGCATCCAAACAACACATTAACAGGGTGTAATGTGAATGGTACTTCCTGGAGTTGTGCAATATTGTGATGGTAGAGTACAGAGAGCCTGGTTGGAAGGCTATGATAGTAGTCTAGTTATGAATGACGGCAGTTTGAATACAGTGGTAGTAGCAGAACTTAAATGGACAGATCTGAAAGTCAGATATGGAAGTATGCTTAATATTTCAATAGAATTGCCTCAGCATGAAGCAAGTCACTTTAACTAGTAATTCAAATTCTATTGATTAATTTTTTAAAGATAAAGCTCCTATATTCTATGTTGATTAATCTAGAAACTGATTTGAAACTTATCTGCCTTCATCTTAATCATTTAAAAAGAGTTTATTGGTTATTTAGGAATAAAATCCTTTACTAATTGTAATGCTACCTCAAGTGGCTATTGAGAACTTGAAATGAGGCTAGTCTTAAATTGAGATGTGCTAAGAATGTAAAATATATTCCAGAATTCAAAGATTTAATATGAAACTATCTCATTAATGAATCTTCATGTTGGTTACACGTTAAAATGATAATATTTTAGGTATATTGATGCTATAGTTTGAATGTCCATTTGTTGGGAACTTAATCTCTCTGCCGTCAAATAGATTAATGGATTAATGAGGTCTCTGCCCTCATGAATGGATTAAAGTTACTGTCACAGAAGTGGGTCTGTTATCTTGGGAGTGTATTTGTTATAAAAATGAGTTCTCTCTAGCTATCTTGCTCTTGCCCTCTTGCCATGTGATGTCCTTTGCCATTTTATGATACATCAAGAAGGCCCTCACCACATGCTGGCAATCTGCTCTTGGACTTCCCAGCCTCCATGAGCTAAATAAAAATAAACTTCATTTCTTTATAAATTACCCAGTCTGTGGTATTCTGTTATAGCAACAGAAAACAGTGTAAGACAATTGGGTTAAATAAAATGTATTATTAAAATTAATTTTACCTTTTTTACTTTTTAAAACATAGCCACTAGAAAATTTAAAATTACATATGTGATTCACTTTATATCACTGATCTAGTCCATGTAAAGAGGTCTGGGCACTTTTAAATTAGGTAGCATGATGCCTGACATCATCAGATAAGTAGTTTAATATCTTCAGATGTCATATGCTAGATTCTGATTCCAAATCAAAGATTCCTGTCCCCAAATTTTATTCCTCATAATACTCACCACAATATGACTGAAAATGCTAGTCTTGGCAAGGGAAAGAATTATTTTATCATCCAAACTAATAAGTTTTGGTCGGGGCTTGATCTTGGGCTGCATTTTTATAACTTCATCATCAAATTTCAAATCCTGGGACAATATGGATCCTTCTGAATTTTTTTTGCTTTCTTCTAGAATAACATTGTTGAATGAAGAAAATAAAGAGTGAGCCTTGACCTAAAAAATTTATTAAAAATATCAATATCAAAAATTCAGTTACTGTATTTTTCATTTTGAAAACAAATAGGCTGTGTAGAAAAGATGAACTGACTTTTTTTGGTTATACAGTAATATCTGTGATGATCAGAATTACATTAGGAAATCTATGAGAGTAGATTAAGATTGTAGGCTAAGCATGGGTGTGTCCATTCCTACCCACTGAAAACTGGCTCTAGAAGAAACCAAATCGTTCATCAGAGAATTTTTAAAAATCTAAGAGAATAAAGCATTTATAATAAAATAATAGGCTACCATAGAAAAGAAAATAGGGTATACATTGCAAAGCTAAGATAAAAATAATTATTAAAATTTAAAAAAATTAGTAAATGCTCTGAGAAACCAAATGGATGTGGAAGCAGATCAAATTAGCAATGTAAAAGCTAATACTGAGCAAACCTGTAAGAACAAAGAATTAAGAAATGGAGATGTAAAATATGAGAGAAAAAAATAAAAAGATATGGAGGATCAATTCAGACTGCCCAATGTTTAAACAATAGAGGTTCCAGAGGGCTTAATAGAGAATGGAAGAGAAGAAACAATCAAGAAACTTAGAAAAGCAAACTTCCCAGAAGTGAAGTAAGAACTGAATCATCAGCTCAAAAGAGCTCATGAAGACAAGCAGAAGGATGATGGGACTAAAGGTCTTTCCTGACATTGTACAGTCACAACAACCAGGGACTGCCCACCTCTTGGCTTCTTCTTACTTATGTGAGGTAAATGAACTTCACTATCTGTTTACTGTTTCTCTGGGCTTATATATTTTCTGCTAAAAAGCATCCATGACTGATATAATCCCATTCATGATAGCAATATAAAGTATAAATTCCCAGAACTCTATTTAACAAGAAATGTTGAAGATATACATAAAGAAAACTATAAGAGAGGACTCAAAGAAATGGAATACGTTTTCATGTTCCTGGATGAGAAGGCCAATATTACAAAGTAGTCAGTTGACCCCAAATTAAGTTTTAAATTCAACATAATTTCAAACCCTAATAGGATTTTTAAATAGAACTTGACAAGCTATTCTAAATTTTATTTAGAAAAGATAATGTTTAAAAATAGCCAAGAAAATCCAATAAATAAATAAATATATCGATTGATTGAAACACGGTCTTATTCTGCTACCCAGGCTGGAATGCAGTGGTATGATCATAGCTCACTACAGCCTCAAACCCCTGGGCTCAAGCAATCCTCCCACCTCAGAGTACCACCACACCTGGCCAATTTATTTATTTACTTATTTATTTATTTTTTGTAGAGATTGGATCTCACTATGTTGCCCAAGCTGGCCTCAAACTCCTGGCCTCAAGTGATCCTCTCACCTTGGCCTCCCAAAGTGCTGGAATTACAGGTGTGAGCCACTGCACCTGGCCCAAGAAGATTTTAAAAAAGATGAGTGTGGGTAGAAGAAGGGAATCCACTCTATTATATATCAAAACATATCATCAAGGTTGTAATAACCAAAACAAATGTGGTAGGGGTCCAAAATTAGACAAAGAAATCAATAGAAAAGAATAGAGTCTATAAATAGATCCCTAAATTTGAAAATAATTTTAACAATAAAGATACTATTTCATAATAGAGCAAAAAAGATAATGCTTCAATAAGTACCTGCTTATTTTTAAGAAAAAAATTATTTGACTACTCTTCTTTTATACATTATAAAACAATATGTAGATGGATTAAAAAAGCTAAAGGTCTTAAAACAGTTATGTAAGTATTGGAAGAAAATAAAGGAGAATATTTATAATATTATGAGATTTTTGAAACAAAACATAAAATTCATAATCCAGAGAGATTCTTATATCTTAAAAATTAAGTTGTAAATTACAAATTAAATTAAGAACTAAGTTTTTGTTACATATAAAATTAAAAGCAAGTGACAGAAAATATATGCAACATAGAATAAGCTAAAGGATTAATATCCGAATGCACATAAGGATTTTTCCAGTCATTATGAAAAAGATAGAGTCTAATAGAAAATGGTCAAAAGATATAATATTTGATTCATAAAACTATAAATAATTTTAAGCATATAGAAGAATAAAATATCTTGGTTTTTTGCCCATCATAGTGGGCTCCCCTCAAAAAAAGACTGATAGTATTTTGTGTTGGTAAAGATGCAAAGAGACAAGCACTGTCACACACTGTTGGAAATTAGTAAAGTAAGTCTTTATGGAGACAATTTGGCAAAATCTCATAAAATTTAAAATGCATATATCCTTTCACTCTCCAAGTTTTCTGCAAATCTATCCTGTGGAAAAACTTCCATATTTGTATAGAGATGTATCATTGATGATGTTCACTGATACTTCTTTAAAATATTAAAAAACTGGATAGAATCTATCTACAGGGGAATAGTCAAATAACTCAGAGTATTACTGAATAATACGCAGACACCAAAAGAATGAAGTATACCCCTATATGTACAAAAGTGGAATATGTTCAAGATATATTGTTAAAGGCACAAAACATCACAGAATACTTAAAATTTGTTTCTACTATGTAAACACATGGAAAAAGATTGAAAACAAACCCACAAAACTGCTAACAGTGGATGCCTTGGTAAAAGGGAGTGGCAACTGGGTTAAAGTGAAGGCAGATTTTCATATTTGTTAGATAGTTTTCAATGTAGTTTGAATCTTTTCTAATGAGACTATAACCATATATTACTCATGTAATATATTTGTATAATAAAATATTTAGGTGTCATAATGATTTGTTTTGAGAATTAAGTCCTTCACAGAATAACAATTACACACATACAGTATAAACTTGACATAACATTATTAGAATTCAAATTACTATTCTGTTACCATTTAAGGAATACCAGTTTTTAAAAATATATAACAATTCATACCACTGTAATATACTCAAATTCAACAACGTATTCTGGCAAAACAAGGTCATGATCAAAGACAAACCACTTGCACTGCCGAATGCTGCAATCACAGTTTCTTTGTCCTATGATAGAATCTAGAGTAAAAAACAAAAACAAGCAAAACAAACATTCTTCCAAATGAAACATAATATACTTTTTCATTTTTACATAGATAATAAATAACCTCAGTAAGTTCTAACAATTATATTATTGAGGGTTTTTTTCTTTTATCTCCCTGTCCCCTTTATTCCCTCCCCAAGTGCCTTAATTCTATAAATACCAGTCATCCTTTCACTGCATAGACTGGTAGGTTTAATTTCATTCATATCCTTTTCCTTTTCATACTTTTTCACATTTCTATTCAATGTGTGGTCATGTGTCTTTGACAAATGTATTAATATTACTCTAAAAGCCTTGTTGTTAAAAGTTCAGTGGCTTTTTATCCTTTGAAAACTTGTATATAAAAACATACACACACACAGATATATAATTAAATGTAAATCTTCCAAATAAACTACATGCACACACACATACACACACACACACACACACACACACACACACACACACACACACATAAATGTTACTGAGGTAGAGATCAAGAGAATTATTAGTGGCCAGGAATAGATTTTTGTAGAAAAGTCTATAAAGTTTGTTAGGTAGAGGCTAAACTATAAGCATCTGTATTAAACACAAACATTTTGCATTCAAAGAGATGAAATCACATTTCTCTTTATGGCAGACATACTTAGTAAATATTTCCGAGGAATGAACACTGAATTAAACATTGGATAGTTGGCTTGACTGATGGATTCTTGCTCATTAGCCTGAACACTCTGGCCAAGGAAAACCTTTGTAATGAGGAGGATCCCTAAATATAAAAAAAAAAGAAAGAAAGAATTTTTAACAATAATTTACTTTAATAATTTTCCAATATAACCTTTTTTATTGGCCCCGGACTTGACTGTGTGTGTTCTATAAAGGTAGAGATCCTGGCTGTCCTGTTTGTTACTGTATAGCACACAGTACACAGCACACTGCCTTATCCAAAATAGAAGATCAGCAAATATTTGATCAATAAATGAAATGGTTGTAAAAGAGGAGTCTCATGATTACATCAGGCAAAACTTTACAGAAAAGGAAGAAGGAGAGAACACAATAATTTAGCATGGTTTTCTATTAAGTAGTTAAAAGTAAGAAAAGTTTTTTTGTTGCCAACTCGGTAAAAATTCATCTCTATAACAGTAACACCTAGCACACGGTAGAAGGCACTCAATACACGTCTACTGAATGGATGGACATTTCGTTTTCCTTTAGATTCTTAGGGATCCTTGGGATTTACTAAATATGAAAGATCCCTAGGAGCCAATGAATCTGAAGAAATAATTTCTAATCACAAAGCATAAAACATTCAAATGATTTTTGGTTTATTTTTACTATGTACAAGATATAAAAATAAGTTGAGAGAAACTAGTTGTTTTGGAAAACATTCCAGAAGGATCTAACAGGACATCATAAGGTATTTGTTAAGATGAGAATGGAGAAGAATGATAAAGAATAAGCAAACAGTTTTTTCAAGTAAGGAGCTCTTTCTAGATTCAATAATCTGCTTAATTTTCTGATTATCATTAACTGAATGAAAGACTTAAAACACATATAGTTTAGTTCAGCATGAATCATCCTAGCAGAGTTATAGTCTTGAGACCCAGAATGTCATTGTTATAGAATTATGTTAACCAAATTTTCGACTATTTGCTTCAGTAGGTTGGATGGTTGAGACCAAAGAATAGGTGTCCCTTACTCCCTGACCTGATCTGTTTTCCATATTATACATTCTTTGGTACTGTGTGTTAATACTTTATATTTACAGTTCTTATGATCATTGTAATTTTACATTTATTTATGTGATTATTAATATTTGCAAGCACCATAAAGGAGAAACTGTCTAGTTTAGACAGACTGTATCCCTATCACTTACCAATGCCTAACATACAATAAGCATTCAATAAATACTTGTAGAACAATGGAAAATAGCGAGGCAAGGGGACGTGATGAGTTGGTCTTTTTCTCCAATCTGTGGGTACCAGGGAATATCTCCCAGAAGTGTCCTATAAATTGGTTCATGTACTTATATTTATATATATTCGAGGTACAAATAAAGGACTGTTAATTATGAATAAATTAAAATACCAAAATGTATCTTCTATAAGACAACTTATAAAGCAATCCATACATTTCACAATTTGTCTTTAGCAGATTTTAAATTATAACCAAGTTTTCTTATCATCTTACACTGTGATGACTCAGGACAAATAAAGTGTACTTTTTATAGAGTGTCATATGATTATTGCATATATGGGTCAAGTTCTCTTTTCTCCTTCCTGTAAATTTGGTGTGTGTAACATATATGTGTGTATATATATGTTGAGTTTATTTTTATGACACAATATAATGAACAAAAGTAGACTGTGAAGTATATATAAGTTAGATTTAATATCTGAATAACAAATTAGTCTCTTCCTACTAATGCTGACACAGCAATCATTCAGTTTATTGACAGTGTTGCTAAATTAATGGTGAGAAAACCATGTATTACTATGTTGGTAAATATGAAGTTAAATGGTTTGAAAAACATCTCTTGGGTTGAAAAACCATGTATCAAAAATAATATGAAAATAATTAATGAATCTGAAGACTTAAAGTTCAAAACACTGGATCTTTGTATTACCATGTCTGAAGAGTTCATGCTCAAGAGAATTTTTCTTCTCATCCTTGTGCTTTTGCTGTAGAAATTCAATTCTGGGACACTCACACATACTTAGGCTGTTAGCAAGAATAACAGCTTCTTTTTTGAGAGGCAGCTGCAAAGATAAAACAAAGTCTGGATATTTTTACAAAATTGACAATATTTCAACTTCAATACAGATTGTTTGTTATTTTATGTTTATGTGTCTGCGGGAAAAAATCTACAGGCCAGACTCACTGACAAGAAGTAGATAACCTCCAAGTACAACTTAATTCTGCAAAGCCATTTATATATCTTAAATTCATATGCAAATAGGTTTGTAAAAAATGATACAGGACAAAATTTGTTCTTGGAAAAACAGCCAAAGTCAAGACTGACAACACTGCATGATGCAGGAACTGTCAACGAGTCTTCCACTAGTAATCTTGCTAACTTCAAACAAAAAGACAATTCCGTGGGAATGAGATACTACATCAGGAAAGGATTTTATTTATATCATTTTTTGTTCAATAATGTACACTATTTTCCAGAAACAAAACATTTCTTATTGTGGTAATGCATGGAAATCTTACTTTGCATTGTGACTCTATTTCTTGAAAGTGTTATATCGTAATATTCATATTACTTTTTCTGAAAGCAGCTCTAAAAAAAATCAAGCAAAAATCTCTATTTTTAGTAGTAAGAAAACTAGATCTAAGAGAGAATATATGATCTGTCCATGGACAGAACTGGCAAAGTCATAATTGGAACTAAGGTCTACTTGTCTTTGTCATAATCTGAGAGTTTTGAAATTATCACTAGTTTAATATAAATAGCCAAATTATTTAGAATTATATCTTTTCTGTAAATGCTGAATTACCCATATATTTTTTATTATTGAAACTGATAATCCAAAGTATTTAAAAAATAAATATAGCCAGACCTCCATATCTGCAGTTCCCATATCCCTGGATTCAACCAATTGCAGGTTGAAAATATTTAGGAAAAAAAAAACCCATAACAATAAAAATAATACAAATATAAAACAATATAGTATAACAGATATTTCCATAGCATTTACATTATATTATAAGTAGTCAAGAGTTGATTTAAAATATAAAGGAGAATGTATATAGGTTATATGCAAACACTATATCACTTTATATAAGGGAATTGAGCATCTGCAGATTTTGGTATCCATGGGAGTTCTGGAACCAACATAGATATTGAGGGATGACTACATTCAAATGTGGCTCACATGATACAAATTCCACATCCCAGTAACCTCCTCAGACTTCCAATGAACTTCACTAAATATCCATTAGAATTATAACCCATGTGGGATGGCATTGCGAGTCTATGGTCTTGGTCCTCAATTAAGGGAGATGAAGATAGAAACTGTACTCAATAATTAAAGACACAAGACATCATAAGATGTGTCAAATAAGATATGTTTTTTAATTGAAATGATTGGGAAAGAGTTTATAGAGGTAATGGGGTCATGACTAGGCCTTGAAGATTGGGCATAATTCAAACAATCAAAAATTTAAAAATAAATAATTTTTTAAGAGGAGAAAACCTCATAAAGGTATAGAAATAGGTGTGATTGCCATCCATCCATCTCTCCATCCATTCATTCACTAGATTTTTACTAAGAATCTACTCTATTAACAAAGTCCCCACCCTTAAGGGCTAGTAGGGAAATATGCACAAGTGATTACATTTCAATATAACTAAGGTGCTATAATAACAATTCTCAACTGATTAGCACTTACACTTAACCATGTGCAGGATTAACTATTAATAGTATTTTCTTTTCTCTCTATAACAGACAATATGGTGGCAGTTTAAGGATAAGACTATACTTTTAAAACATGGATATACTTCTATCTAGTTGTGTTGTATGCTTACCAAGAGTCAGTTAATTTCATTCCCATACTCGTTTATGTCAGTTGTACTTGTTATACAAATTATGCATATTACATAAAGCAATGAAATAGAAGGAGAGTTGTTTCTTTGAAACTAAGTAGAGAATTGGGTAAAATTCAAAGAAGCTAATCATTAAAAACTTCTGCCAAAGTATGTTTAGGCAAGGCAAATGCAAAAGTTTGGAATGGCAGATAAACTAGATAGATGGATTCTTACACTCAAGTTGCTCTGTGAGAATTTTTAAGTGGTGTGCTCAACTTTAAGGGAACCAAAACGAATGTGAAAGATGGTTGTGGGTAATATAAGAACGACTACTTAGAATTCCAATTTCATAGTCAAAGCTTTTGGTCTTACATAGAAGATTGACAAATGTAAATTTACGTTTTAAAATATATTAGACGATTTGTTAATTAAATCATTTGTTTACAGTTCTCCATTTTAATTGACTTTTTTGATTAACCTGCAAACTAGGTAATAGGTTATTGTTTGAGAATTCAGGAAACGGGTCTTTGAGCTGAGACTTGAATGATGAGTAACTTTGCCACAGGGAAAAAGAAAACAGCATTTCATCAAAGGGAGACACGACATGGCATTGAGTTGTGCTTAGCAGAATCACAAGTGTAATACATACTTCAGTTGGGACATTTGGTGTATTTGGTAACAGGGAGTTAGTTTGAAGCTAGTTTGTGAGGGCTATAAGAGGCCTTAAACACCAGACAGAGGAATGTAGATTTCATCATTGTTAATATAAGTAATGGGGAGCTATTGAAGGTTTCTCATTATGGGCAGAGTACAATGTGCACTATGAAAATGTTTTAAGGAAGATTAATTTATCTGTACTATGAAAGGTAGAAGGATTAGAGACCATGACCAAAGGTCAGGTTGCCTGTTGGGAAACTAATGGCAAAATTAAGAAGGGATGTTCTAAGGTTTAAAGTGGTGGCAGGAAATGGGAATAAGGAAGGAAGGGAAGAATACATTGATTTGATAAAGGAAGAATTACTAGAAATGGTTAATGATTAGATGTAGAAATAATGGAAAAGGAAAGAATTGAACATAATTTTAAGGCTTTAAGCCTGGTCAGTGGAGGAAATAACAGTATTGTTAGTATAGATCATGAAATAAGACCAGGAGAGAGTTACTTATGGGCAAAAGATTAAAGGCTGGTTGTAGATGTGTTGTATAAGAAGACAAGACAGATTAACCAGGAGTAGTAGTGGTGGATGTCAGATTAGAAGTCATGAGATGAACTGGCTGAGGATATATTTTGAAGAAATCCAAAAATAAATCAAAGATAACTCCTCTGGGGGCTATTGACCAAGTCCTTGGTTATCAAAAAGAATATCTGGAGGAGTGAGTCAAGATGACCAACTAGAGACACTGCTTGTCAGACCATCCCAGCTAGAAGGTAGGATATTGGACTGAGGAGAGTAGAGAAGAGTTGCAGCACAGGTGTGGATCACAGAGAGAATTGATAAAGATGACTGGGGACCCCATAGACAAAAGCTGCAAAGCTCGGAAAGAAGAGGGTGGAGAGGAGAAGATAGTGGTGCAGATCAAACTCAGAGAGGCTCAGTGCAGAGTGAAAAGGTAAGGGGATTCCCCTCCCCCAACTATGTGCCTTCTGTGAATAGCAGGACACAAAGTATATTGAAAGCTTTTCCACCCTCCATGAGCCCAGGCACAGTGGCTAATTAGCAACAGTGGGGTGAACCAGCAAGCCCCAGGAATTTGAGCATCCATAAGGGACACCCTACAGGAGTGCCACAAGAGACCAGAAACCAGCTTTGTTACACCTAGGCACTTCTTCCTCTGCACCTGGCATCCGAGAAAGTAATTTGAGCTCAGGCTGACTGGTAGCCACAGCCACTACCCGACTAATTGCAACCATGAGAGTTGCTTGAATAAAGAAGCTCATGAGCGGCTGCTTCTCTCTGGCAGAAGCATGCCCCAGGCTGAGGTCCCTGCAGATAGAGGGGCCCACTACTCTCCCTTTGGGGACTTGTGGTGGAACAGGGGTGCACAACTGGGGAAACTCCTGCCTGCCAGTGTTATGTGGAGATGAATGAAGGCTAGTGGGTCAGGCATATGGACTAGGGGTAAGTTAGAGAGCTGGACTCCAGTGGAGAGAACTCATGTGGACTGATCTGATACTAGTGTACAGTAGGGTTCCAGGGAGTAGTAATTTGGGAGGGCACTCACTCCTCCCTGCAGAGAAACTGTGCTAGTGGGCAAGGACAGAAAGAGCAAGGCCCAGGGCCTTAGCATGCAAATGTTTAGGCCCCTCCCTCAGGAACAGCCTTCCAAGTTTGGAGAGCTTATCCTGAAGCTCATTCCTGTGGCTCCTCCTAGCAGATGGAAAAGCAACTGCTGAGCCCCATGGAGGCTTTGTAAAGCCTTTTAAGCTCTCACAATCTAGCCACAACCTGCGGACCTGCTTTTTCCCTCCCCCAACTTCAGTTGGAGTAGAGATCAAGCAACCCCCTGGGAGCTACAGGGTCCCTCCTAAAGCTTGGGGCACTTGTGTGGCCCACCAGGGGGACCAGAGCTTACCATGGGCAAAAAAGGACACCCTGGTCACTGGTTATTCTACACAAACATCAACCAATGATGGGAGAACAACTCTATAGCTCAGCATAGTGCTTTCCAACTCAAGAAAAAAAGGTGTGGCTGATTTGTACTCACAAGTACCACCCACCATCTCTGAGATTAAGCTGGGGGACCCAACCCAAGCATTGCTGAGAAGAGGTGAAGACAGAAGGTCAGAGGAGGTTCATCAAACCTACTTGAACACACCATAGGCAACACGGGACCAGCAATCCTCTCCCTGCCATGGTCAGGGATTGATCTTTGGGGACCTAGAGATAGGCCCACAAGCCACTCCTGGTATCCCCAGGTCTTGATTGAGAGGCCAGATGAGAAAGAATCATGGAAAGAACTCTGGAAATATGAAAAATAAGAGCAAAGGACACACCCAAAAGAAAACAATAACTCCTTACCAATGGATACCAACCAAAACAAAAATATTGCAATGACTGATAAAGAATTCCAAATATTAATTATAAGGAATCTCAATGAAATATTAGAGAAAATGGAAACCAAACACAAAGAAACCACAGGAACATTACAGGAAATGAATGAAAAATTAACTAAAAAAATAAAATTATTTTTAAAAAGCAAATAGAACTTATGGCAATGAAAAATTCA